GCCTTCCATGCTATTGTAGTAACAAAACTAGTTTCAGAAGCGACGTTCGGTTATGAATATATACTAACACTAACAAAAATGGATTCAGAGTTATTTCAATTTCTCTGGCAGTAATATAATACATATATTATTGCAGAACTATTTTTTCAAAACGTCGCATTCCCAAAATTTAATGAGAACTGCTAAATATTTGAAGTGCATTGAGTGTGTTTACAATTTTATCTTGAATAACTTTTGTTGTTGTCTTGTATAGTTCGCCAGAAATCGTTAAATCAATGAAGGATTTGTAAAATTACAGAATTGACGCTAAGATGTATTTTTAAAGTGCTGATTTGTTATTATTTTTTAAGATGTTTTCGTTAAAATGTATTACTGTTGTGATCAGATTATATGACGTCACCAGGTTATCTTTTATTATAATTAAACGCGTTCTTGCTAAACGAGGATAACACAAACCTGAACAATCATTCTCTTGGTTTTTGTTCTCCTATAGGCCATAACTGTTTACACCTCTTACTATCTATTGTATTATTTACTTATTATGTTTTGTATTTCATTAGGTTCTTTATAGAATAATGTGTAACTCAAAATGTATAATAATATATTGTATAATATCTGGGAGCCTGTACAATCTTAGTGATTTGACAAATCATTTTAATGACATGCTCATTAAATAAACATAAACATCATTATAATAAAATGTTTTCCTTTGAAAATATTTCATACAAGCTTAATTATGTGACTAATATATAAGAAATACTCATCAAATATTATTGTTTGAAATTTCGTTTTATTTTCATAATATAATTGTTATTTAATCGTAGATTTTTTAAACTAATAAATTAAGGTACACTATACCGACGCCCCGTACGAAAAGTAGCACCGTTCACAGATTCTTACGAAAAGTAGCACTGTTCAAGTTCTTACGAAGACTAGTACCGTTCATACTATTGGTGCCATTGGTGCTAGTTTTCATAAGAAATTCGCGATCGGTGCTACTTTTCGTACGACGCGTCGATACTACCTTGTATTTTACGAAATATCGAGCAAAATCAAGGTCGATAAAATGTATGGTTCCTAACTACATTGAAATAATACTAAAAGTCGAACAAAGTATTATATTTTAACTAGTTTTTTTTTCAATCATTTATGAATTAATAACGTTTTTACTAGAATTGTTTGTTTTAATATATTATTAAAAAAAAATTATATTATTAAATAATGGGCTACTTATGTTTTGTTTGGCCTCTGGCCGCGAAGGATTTTTATTTAAAATAATTGTTTCATTTTAAATTTGTACTTTTTAAAATTTATATATGGTGAAATATGTGATTGCTATAGTATACGTATGATGAATTCCAGACTTGTCAATATTATGGTCATGAGTTTTAAAATGTTTGCGATTAAACAATTAGAATTTACTGTAGATGAACAAAGTTATTTTTATTATGTTATTCGATTTATTCATGAATCTAATTCTTTATTCTATTAATACAATTAATCAATTAAAATTATTTTAAATATTTCCATTATAAATTACATACATTGAGTGATCACGTAATATATGTAAGACCAATCGTAAACTTTAAACATTCGACTGTGTATATAGAGGTCACAAATGGGTGTGTTAATATAGAGTATCAGAAATCGACTATTCTACAATAGTTACTACATTAAAAAAATGTATACTAACATAAGTAAAGACATTATATATTGTTCACATTTAGTTGTACAGGATAGTTAATGTTTATTTGTACTTTAAACAATAGTGTTTATGGATTACTTGTTATGACAGAAATCGTTGTAAGTTGGAAGTTTTGAAGTTGAAAACGGACGTCAATATATACCTAAATAAAATTTGTTTTTATACTCACCTATTTTATTATAAAACAAGTACCTATTAAGTTTTAGTGCTATCCGCAAACAAGTAGGTCTCACACTACATACATCTTTCTGATGTATAGATTAATAAAATGGGTTAATTAATATAAATAATAATTTTGACACAAATACTTAACAATTATTAAAAACAAATTCGAATAAAACCTACCACGCTTAATAAATACTCACTACTTTAGAATTTTAATGATATCACATCATGAGTATATAAACAACTTAATATAATATATGGTTATATGTATGCTTACGACTTCTAAAGTTATCTCTCATTTTTCTAATAGTTAATTGTAATGTTAAGGTATTGTGAATATAATTTTGAATCATACTTGAAATTCAAATATGGCAATGACACGTCGACAGTAAACACGTTACTATATGTAGCTTATCGCTTATTTTAGTTTATTCTTATCCCTACTTCTATGGACTTTGGCAACTGAATCCTTTTGTTGGCATACACATATACGCCTTAATATATGTCATGGTGCTAAAATTAGAGTAAATCGCACGTTGGCGTTTAATCATATTAATAATGAATAATGATTAATACTTTAGTTAGAACCAGATGAATTTGTCCACCTTTTTATTAATTAATAAAACGTGTTTTAATTAATAAACTGTCCTACGTTATTATTAACGCTTCAATAGGCTTATAAGCAATATTAGAAATCATGAGACTGGAAGTATACAGCAAGTCTATATGATTTTTTGTGAATGCAAAAAAAAGTAGCTTATAATATAAAACAAAAATGTTTAGGCTCCAAAATGATTCAAATCTAATCTGTATTGGGAAACAATTTCCAATCATCTAAAATAAACATTACATTTTTTGTTAATATTGCGTTAACACTATCCACAGTTTTAGCATGAATATTTTTGTTAACAGTTTTATCATTTCCAAAATTATTACTTTCTTAAAATAAGTTTGTGGTCGCCCGGCTAAACTAGACTTATTTTATTTAACTGTGGTAGTTTTTTAATGTCTTGGCTATGTTTCGACAATATGTTAGGTGCACATGAATTTATGTGCGGAATTGTAGAAAGTTTTCAAAATGTATGTAACTTTTATTATCTATACTTATACATATGTATTTGCTATATGGATTAAACTGATTTTTATTGTTTTTATCAACCGAACAAAAATTATTAAAACGTTTTCGTCCATTATATTTAAAACCAAACATTAATACAATTTTATGTATATTCATGGAGTTTATTTGTTTAGTTTACTAAGTCACAATAGAAATGTACTTGTCAGAGCATTATCTTGGAGTTTTTTCCTGTTGCAAGTTGTAATCCTGACTCCTGTCAACATAAATATGATTAATCTGTATTAGTTATCGTGCTGAATAATTCAACGAGCAAACTCATTAATTGAATTTGTCATAGATGTTTATCATCAAAATTTTTCATCAATGCTTATAAAAGCTTGGTTCGTGAAAAGTTTTGGCTAATTCTAGTTTGAAGGAAATCTACTTCTAAATGATAAGTTATTCAACTCCTCAAATTAAGCTGAAATTAATCGAAAATATTTTACGCCTTAAATGAATAACATATTAAGAAATGTGTACCTACCTTAAGAACTAAATAATAAAATGTCAGTTAGGAATTGGGTCTAATTATTTTACCTTATTAGAGGTTATTATCGTTAATACTTTAAAAATATGTAATACATTTTTAAGTTAATAAAATAACATATTTCTTTAATTTCAAAATCCCCGCTTTTAAGGGAAGGTTTCACATTTTTTTAAACATAAAAACATTGTAAATATAAATTTACGTACAAAAAAGCTATTTTTCTAATTAAAAAAAAAACATTAATTTTTGTGAAAGAAAAATTTGTTTTGAAAATAAAAAATTTAGTTTTTTTTTAAAACGCTTATTATAGTATCTTTAAATTTTACACGAATACTATACGGTTATATTACCTACATTAATAGTTTTTAAATTGTCAAAGTATGAATTATTAATCAATTAATAATAATAGTTTTAATTAAACTATTATTTTGATGACTCGGTTAATCGGCACTAATCGAGCGTATAGTAGTAATCGAAGAACGATTTTTACAGTATATACACGTAGTATAACTAATAACTATTAGCGCCCGCTCCTACCCTAATAACAATGATGTATTTTTTGTACACTTTTTAGATTGCTTTTCATAATTTGTGCAATTCTTTTTTAAATGCATGTATTATCAATGACTACTACAGTAAAATAATAATATGCAAATTGTGGAGACCAAGAAAAATTGTTTAATCCCTCTAGAGTCTAGAATAAAGGATAAATTATTATTTTTTTAATTTTCGACTAGAAATCGGTAGGGTACAATCCATAGATATATATTTTGTTTATTTTCAGATATTTATAGTTGGTCGTATATTAAGTTAAAAAATATGTATAATAAAAAAAAAAATATTGGATAGTAGAAGGAGTAAGCATTTAAACTTTGGCATAAAAAAGTTTCTTTGGTGTATTTATGATCTATGACAGTGTATAAGAAACGGCACAGTGGTTAAAAATGTAATCGTGGTTCAGTCATAGAAATAAAAATACACATCAATATAAAATCAAAGTTTTAAGTATACATTTTGTCTTTTAAAAATTACCATGTACATTACTTATATTTGTAATTTCTCAAAATAATTGATCTTCTTGTACATTTAACATTTGTGAGGGTCTATAGAAAAATAATTGGGATTTCATTAATAATTCTAAAAAATTGTCGACATTACATTTTAAAATTAAACGTAATTGAGCTACATTATATTGAACCATTTAAATTAGATGATACCATTGTATTGTTAGTAACTCTAACAAATATACATACACCCGTAGCTAGATGAATGAAACATGGTGGTGTGCACACTAGTCCAAGGGTCATGCATACGTATTTCTTTTTTATCAGTTCGATAAGAACCATAGTGAGGGCCGAGGCATGCACTAACAACAAACGCATACCGACAATCAGTACAGCGTTGGTCGCATAATTGGCTACACTTTTTGTTTCGATCATTTTTTAAGAAATAATAATAAATCATTGTAAATAAAAATATTTTTTTTATTAAACTGTTTTTTTAATTAATTAATTTTTTTTATACAGTGTCGGTTATAGTAATTTCCATGGACGAGCCGATGGATTTGCGCCAGTGAAAGGCTTTGTGCCACCCTATATAATATAACAAAATAATCGAATCGCAAAACCGGTTTTGACTTTGCTTTTTCCGAGTATTTAAGTCCAGTGCTCTTTTATTATGATGGAAGTTCCGGACTCCAAGTACACGCCAGTGAACACATGCGGTGACGAGCGGTGCGCCAATACCGCCAAAATCCAAGACGCTGCCGATAAGGTTGGGTGTCTTAGCAAAATGAAACTATTCATGACCACGGCATCGGCGGCCAAAGATCCCAAAACCAAGTCTACAATGGATTGTAATTGTAAGTAATTGTTTACGCTTTACAAACTTCTAGAATACTATGTAGTTGGAAATAGTGTTTTTAACACTTGATAAGTTTGGATCAAATCATACAACATAAGTATCCTGTTGATTGCCATAGAATTTTTAATACACTTACTGCAACGTTACAAGACCTACAAATTGTACACGCTTACAATTGCCTTTTAGTTTATGAGGACAAAAAATTGTACTTTTATAGTATCTGCCTTTTACGCTCCGTGATCGCTTCTATGACCTTACGTTATAATATTCCGCGTAAATAAAAATGTAGCCATGGTACTCATCGTGTTATTTGAAATCAAGTTATTTGTTTCTCTAAGCAATGCCCGTTAAAATACAATAAATAAAAAAAAACTGTTTCAACTTCAAACTAAATACAACATTTCTTTTGCCTTCTTTTTCTTCACCTTATCCCGTGCAAATACGATATGTAATAAAATACGCTACTTACTAGTAAAAATAACTTTTGCTAGCTAGCTTTGTGTAGAAGCTTAAAAACTAAGTTAGTACTATATATTTCTTTATATTTTATTATCGTCATGACTCACTTTAAACAGCGTCCTTGAAATTGAATAAACCTACTATTCACTGTATTCACTATTCAATGTCTAGACAATAATGTGGTAAATAATAAATATTATAATATAGTATACCTACACCTCTAATTTGGATAATCTAATATATTGATAATAGTTTAATCGTAACAGTAGTTAAAAGTTGTTGAATACTATTAGTTAAATGCAACCATTGTTGCCATTTAAGAACACTACAATAGTCAATAAGGTCCGCAAAAAAAAAAAAAATTACCATTTTGTTTGTATTATACTTTTTAGTTTCAAATAGTTGTATGTATCATACGTTTCAAAAGACTTCACTCGATTTAGTTATTTAATCTACAATTTCTTTAATTTAATTTTTACTTCTTCATTAAAATTGTATGTGAAGTTTTGTTAAAATAGAACTTTTATATTAATATATATTATAATTTCCATTGTACTCGATAGATAATATTATACATTCTAAACGTTTTGTTCCTAAAAGTTTGTCTAAACTTTTTAATATACATTCTTACTTTGAATTGGTACCCTCAAAAAAGAAAACAATTTAGAAAGGCGGTGTTCATTTTCAACTTTTGATCGTTATTTTTCTTAATGTGTTTAGTAAATACCCCGATAAGTTATAATATCTTATTTATTTATGTTAACTACTTGTATTTGTCAATTGTGGTGCAGACCTTACCCGAATAATATCTAAAAAAGGATTAAAGGATTTAGTGGTCAGAGTTCCAGAAATATTGTGACAATGTTGTTATAAAAAAGTATAAAAATACTGTAAAACTTTTTTTCTCAACTTTTCATCAAAGCTTGATCATCGAATTAATCATAACATCCATGATAAATTAAATGTTTAATAATGATTATTTTTATATGCTATTATGCCGCGTATAAATATTTGTCTAGATTTTAAATTAAAAGTATACAATTGTGCGTCTGTTTGTTAGCATAAACAACGAACGAAAGAAATTGAATTTAAAAAGTTGAAATTACAAATTTTTATTGGAAAAGGCAATTTTGTTTACAAAAGTGGAGCAACTAGCATTTTTTAGAACACTGTTTAAATTTATTTGTATTTATGTTGAAAAGTTTTTAATGCTTTAAAAATTCGATAAATGAAATAGTTATTTCACAATCATGCACGTCATTTTAAAATTCATGATTCCAATAAAAATACTGTTTTAAATTGTATTACTAATAACGCGATGCAAACAATTTAAGGAAATCTAAGGCTACAAAAATAATTCTTATTTTGTCTGAAACTTGATAAGTATACCTGTCAATAGACCTAGTTGGAAATATCAGTTAAAGAAAGCACATTTTTGATCAACATTTTGGTCTGGTAAACTTATTTTAAGCAAAAAAAATATTCATTACCAATTTGTTTTTCAACTGATTTATATTTTCGATAGCTTAACATGTTAGAAAGTGAAATTAAATTGAAAAGTTCGATATTTTAGCATTGTGTGTACCATTATAAGTTAAAACTTAAAAACAACTAGTGGCTAGTGCTGCTGCACTTAATTTTTTAATCGCTTTAAAATATACGTTGTAGTACTTTACTTAATAGTTTTTAAAATAGTTTTTGACTATATACCATGCCTTATTTGGTTTAATATTGGTATCATAAAAAAATCGTATTTATAGAACTGACTTATTACTAATTACTTACTTATCCCTCAAATGGAATGTTAGTATAATAAACAAATTTTGTCATGTATTAATGATTCGTCCAAGTCTCAAAAACTGATTAATATAAACATTAATAAAATATTATAATATAGAAAATGACTGCGTACATAAAACAGTTATTAAATGAGCTACCCTGAAAGTTTCAGCCGGATAGCTAATCGGGAAGTGCTCGAATTTTGAGTTGCAAGATTCCACCCGGAACGACAAACAAGATTGTGAGTTCATAAAAACGTTATAATATATTTTAAATAACGCGAGTAACAGCACTACAATACAAGAAGAGTAATTAGAAATACTTATACAAGACGGCAAAAAATGCAATTTAATTTATACTGTCTCCGCAGTCAATTAAACCTTTGTACACTTAATAATATTTAATTTACCATTAATATTAATTGAAAACATATAGTTAAAATAACTCAGTACATATTGTATTTAGGTCATTTAATTAATCTAATAGAGAACAACAGCATGGTATTAATAAGAGAATTCTTAAGAATTTAATGTAGGCTAGGCCGTCCTGAGTTCTTCGGGGTCTTGGATAACTAATAACTCGGAGGCCCTAAAATTCGCCCTTCTTTTAAAATCTATAAAATAAATGTTTTATAATACTTAACTACACAATCATTAACTTAATATAATATCGAAGGAAATCACATTTTAAAAGACGGTTACATATCTGATCTTTGAAATAAAGACGTACAAAAATGCAGGGATTATTTACTTTTAATTATTAAACTATTATTAAACTTATAAAACATTTAAGTTGTGTAATAAAACCTTTATATTGCTTCAGCGATCGTTCCGATATTGTTAAATTGTTGTTAATGACTTTTTATTTACAAGTTAAAATAATTTAACATTTCTAAGCTAACTTTACATAATTGATAACCCTACCTACGACACCACTGACCTTGAGATTTAAGGTAATTAAAATAAATAATTATTTTTCATATAAAATAATAAGGTATACAGATTAGAGGGTGATTCATTAATGATAAGACACTCATGTTTTCATGAAATAATTGCAATTTCGTATTTTTTATTTCATTTCTTTCTTTATTTCTTAAGTTTGTGTCTTTTAAAATATTAATAAATATTTAAATTTGTATCGTTTTTTTTTTTTCTAAAGCTCTATCGACATCTAAACTTAAATGGCGACGATATAATATTTATCTAACTTATTGAATTAAAAATAATTTACTGACATTTTTGATTGAACGAAAACCATTTTTTGGATAATTACTTTTGAAACAAACTAGGAATGTATTTATTATAAAAAAATAAGGCTCCAATTCTGCGACAATGTCGGACAACGATAGTTCTTGATGGAAACATCAACTTCAAGTTTTTCCGCCCGCTATCCTGTGACACCCGACCTGAATAGAAATTAAGGTCTATTCGTGTTTATTATGCATAATTTATGTATTTAATATTTATGTCTAAGGGTCGGACCCGGAGAGACCTTTAAGCTATGAACCTGGATAAAATAGTCCCGCTGCCCCCTGTTTTCAGCCCTATTATCTAAATGTAGGTATTATTAAACAAAATAATATTAAATTTATTCAGTTTTGCATAGTATTGTTAAGCTTTAAGAATTATTGTTCGATCAAATTGAATTCGGTGAAACTAATGGTGCTGTATTGTATTTTAGTCTACGCGCAGTTCTTTTATTATTAATACTAATAGAAATCCTTAAATGTACGCACTATTCTGTATTATTTATAATTTTAGATCAAACATAATAAAACACAACATAAAAATAATCCGTTTATACGTAAGTGGTGATATACCAATATGTATATCACAAAATCGAGAAGAGGTCATCTGAAATTTAGGTAACACTAACCTTACTCATTTAGGACGTACTTTTATAAAAACCGATAAGCACATAATGATTTGTATACTATACATATTGCACCTACTATTGTAGGTTATACAGACATCAAATAAATAATTTAGTCAGTTCTCGGTAAACAGATAATTAATTTGATTACGTTTATTGAATATTTTTAATTCGCACTTTTTGTTTGTTCAGTTTTACCTTCAGAATTACGTAGACATAATTGGCATTTCATCAAAATAAAACCTTTTTATTAATCCCTGAAAACCGAATATTACGCAATTGATATTTCATTAACATTTGGCTTTCAACATTATAGATTACCATTATGTATTGCTAGTAACTATTGTACAATATGTGTTAATTTCACTCACAAACATGAGTAATTAATTATTTTAACGAAGAAAGAGGGCAAAATGTGATAAATAGCTCATTTTCCCTACATTTTTTATTATTAAGAAGCTTGAAAAGCTAATTTATACGGTAAAAAAGGGTTAACGATATTTTGTTATGTATTGTATTACATATTAATTTAACAAAGAAGTAACCAAATTTAACAGATTGGTGAATCTATGTATAATAATTAATATTTGTCAATTTTTATGTTACTTTCTTTGAACGTTAACGAAAATAGTTGTTTTTACAGTTATTAGAACATATTATTAGAGTTCAATTTTTTAATATATTTAAATAAATTGCCCATTAACTATTAATGTTCAATTATTCTTATTGCCTATGTACGTTAATTGCAGATAAATTATTATTGAGAATCAACTTCGTATAAATTGTTATTTCCTGATACTCCATCAAGGTCGGTTAAAACGATAGGAGATTCTATATTATGAAAATTTGCCTATTAATTCCATGACTAAAAAATGTAATTAACGAAATTCGAAACGATTGATAAAAACTTCGACGAAAAATAGATGATTACCAAAAAATTCAGTCATTTAATGCAACGAATTATTAAATGTTTTCACGGTAAAACAAAAGAAACAACAAGTGGTTTAGAGACTACTGTGCTATTCTAGTGCGTCGTAAATAATGACTTATGTTTAATTAGCAAAGATAATATTGTTTTTTTAAGATTAAAACTAAATATAGGTGTTAGCTAATAACTACTGTACAATAATAATACGTTTTGCTCACCAAACCGATGATTATGAGTTATGATTAATGACTCATACCTAATGATAATAATATATAATGTGTGTTGATACTAGATAGTCTGTTAATTACTGTTTTTTGTTTATTTTTTTTCTTTTCAGATACGTGTTTAATGCTACTTATTTTAGGATTCATATTAAGTTCATTCCTTACGATATTTATGTGGTTTACAGATCTATACACTAGTGAATTATTTAAGGTATTTATTCTTTAATGTCTGTGGATGAATTGTAACAATATACGTATCTTAACGGTTTCCAGAGACTGACACTAGCCAACGGTAGTTTACTATACGAATCTTGGAAAGAACCACCGGTTAGGCCATTAATGTGCGTGTATATATTTAACTATACAAATGTCAACGAATTTATGAATGACGAAGAACCAAAGCTCAGAGTTGAACAAATCGGTCCATACTGTTATAGGTAAATGTCGATATTTAAAAAAATATTTAACTGATATTTTCAAATACTATAATATTATATATAACTATAGGTGTATTTTTTTTATAGAGAAACATTATACAGGGTTAATATTACCGATCATAAAAACGGTTCTCAAACCTTCAATGAAATGAAAATTCAAGAGTTTGACCACTTATCTTCCAACGGTTCGGACTCGGATATAATTACTGTGCCAGACATTCCCTATATTGTAAGTATTAAAGGTATTATTAGTGAAAACTTGAGCAAAATTCATATGTGGGTCATAATTATATTGTTAACGTTTAGACTTTTGATTTATAGAATAAGTTAATAGTAAATACCTAATATTAAAGATTTCAATTGTGTCAAGGACTAATCATAGTAAATAATACAAGTGTTATTATCATGTGAAATTATTAAGACTGTGGAATACACTTAAAAATATTAATGATACTAATTAAGAGTAAAACTTGATTATTCTATTCAGGAAATGTACATGGGGTTATCTGTAAATCTCGACCGTGTTCATTTAGAATTTTACACGTGGTTAAATTATGATCCACATTAATTTGATCTTTTTACTTGTTTCAGAGCGCTATAGCCTTGACCAAAGACGAAAACTTTTTAGTAAGAAACGCAGTGTCTATGATTTTTAATCATATTTCCAACTTTCCGTTTGTGACGGTTAGCGTGCATGATTTTTGTTTTGGCTACCAAGATCAAATGGTCAGCACAATAGCTACTTTAGCTCAAGTGGCAAATAAACCCGCGCCGTTTGAAAAGTTTGGTTTACTCATTAAGGTAAATTTTTTTACAAACTTTAATGATTTAAATTTGTGTTCGAGTATAATATAAATAACCGCTGCGCCACAAATCAAACCTGAAAAAATAAAGGAGTTTAAAAAAATGTATATATAGCATTCTTGAGTCATACCACGCAGACATCAGCCCCTGACCTCCTAAAAATGTTTCGACATTTTTTTTATAAACTTCTCTTTGTGTAATATAAGACTTCATTTTTTCGACATTTTTATCACTCATATTTATCCCAAAAATATAGGTTTTTTATGTTATTTTGCACGAAATATCGATTTCAACCCGTTTTTAAATTCTGAAATTTTTATCATAAAATCAAAAATTCGAATCAAATCTTTTCGTCTAAAAACGGGATTGAGTCAAGATTTATTTCTATTTTTTTTTTTAATAATGAACATTTTTTTTTCAAAATTTAAAATAAAATATTTTTTTTTTTGCTTTTTATTCGTAAGGCATATTTTCACTGTTTACTCCCTAAATATGCAAAAAATCAAATTATATCAAAACATGTTAATTTTTAATTTTTTTTTTTTTTTTAATAAAAAACGGAAATAATAATTTTTTTTTTTAGATTTTGATAAATCTCGGCCCAATCTCATTATTAGACGAAAAGATTTGATTCGAATTTCTGATTTTATAATACAAATTTCATAATTTTAAAACTGGTCGAAATCGATATTTCGTGAAAAATAACATAAAAACCTACATTTTTGGGGTATATATGTGTGATAAAAATTTCAAAAAAATGAAGGTCTTATATTAGACCAAAAGAAGTTTATAAAAAAAAATCGAAACATTTTGAGGAAGTCGGCGAAGACCGCGTGGTTTGACTCAGAATGCCCCACATGTACATATTGTCTAAAATTGTATACCGAGATTACTCAAAATAACAATTAAAAATATAAAAATTTACAAATTTATAAAAATAGTGTAAAAAAAAAATGAAGTGAGTAATATTTTTTATTGCTATTTTGAGTAGTTGCAGTTTGGCGTCAATGTGTAATGGGACGACCTTGTTCTAGTTTGAAGGTAAAATGTTTACGAAAAAAAGGATTGAAATGTCATAATAGTACGGATATATATATATATATATATATGTATTATATTGTGATTTTTTCACCAATAGTCAAGGGTTTCATATAAAACATTTCAGTTATCAACTCCTTCGTCTAGTGAAATTATCTAACCTTTTCTCGAATTCGTTCTTTCAAGTGTTCTTGGTTAATTTCAAATATGAGTTATGATAAGATAATGTAATTTTGCCTAATCTTACCGCACGATTTTTCAGCACCTAAAATTCTCTGTTTTGATAAGTCTTATCAAATTTACCTATTTCAGATCAATTTAGTTCCGTGATCAGGAAAATTATATTTTTAGACATGTTTTACAGCGTGCTTAGTATTTTGCTGTTACAGACATAGTATAAATCACTAATGGACCAGTTTATTCGATTAAGTTAAAATTAATTTTCTGCGTAAATTATAGCCTAGTAAATAGTAATAGCTAAAATATGTACCTACCCTTAGGCCTTAAAAGATGAAATGTTGATTTGTTTATCCTTGGTACTCGACAGTGGCGTATTTATGGGAAATAGATCCCCCCCCCCACCCATGGCCTTTTTTTTATAGCGAATTTTTCCAGTACACATATACTTTTATCTGTTTTTAAAATATTCGTAATCGGTATCGCTCGCATATAGGCCGGCTTTAGATATTTTGGAAGGTGTATATTATTTTGTATTTATTCACATTTTTTAGGATTTAATTGTATTTTCAAATCCACTAGTATAATGATAGAAAAAAAAGATGTGATTGGTTTTCAAAAGCTTGTAGAGTTTTATTCCTTAACAATTGGCCAACATTCTAGCATGTTTAAAATGTGGAGAGCAAAGTTAATTACTGAAAACATTTGAAGAGCTACGGGGAAAAAAGATGAATGTCAATTTTTTTTTGATTTGCCTTATTCAATGCGGAATGCGAAAAAGGACCTTGTCTTGTTGACAATGTTGATTTCGAGAAAAACGCCCAAACATCAGTATTAAGGCCGAAAATATAGATTTCTCACTAAGTATCGATAATTGTACCTTAGAGCCTCTAGGAATTAGGATATAGACTATAGTAAACAACGAGTCAAATTCAATAATTGCCAAAATTAGTTAAAATCAATCTCGTGAATAGGGTCTTCTATGTAGCCGAGTACAAAATTGTAAACTAGGTAATTTTTTTGTTTCTAAAGATGTATACGATCTTCATTCGTTAAAAATCAATCAAGATTTAGAAAAAAAAACTTACTCAATGACCAATGTAATAAAATGCTGAAAGAGGTCTCTTTTCGTTTTCCGCATCATACATATACAGGTGATCAACTTATCGTGAACCACTCAATATCTCACTAGGTTTAATAAGAAAATACACTTTTTTTTACACATTATTTTTATGTAATGTGATATCATTTTTCACTATTTGTTTTGTTTTTACCCCCTCCAAACTTATTTTTTTTGATAGCAACTTGTGTAACTTAAATAGTAGCGCATACATTTCATTATCTTTTTAAATTGAGAATAATGTACTAAAAATGTTGACTAGTCGATAACCAGATTTGGATAACTATTTTTGAAGTTATTGTAGTTTCAAGTTTAGGGCAGGAGAAAAGGTGGAGTGTAGTAATATTTTTATCTGCGCGAATTTCCCAACCGCATTTCCCCTCCCATCAAAACTTTTAAACTCTTATAACTTTAAAAATAGTTATCTAAAACTGGTTATCGACCAGCCAAATTTGTTTTTACATTATTCTTAATTTAAAAAGTTAATGAAATGTATGCGTTACCATTTAAGTTTTAAAAGTTGGAAGGGAGTAAAAACAAAACAAAAATTGTGAGAAATTGCGATCACATTATATAAAAACATTATAGAAAATAAAAATTAAATTATTAATTAATCTCAGTGAGCTATTGAGTGGTTCGCTATAAATCATATAATGACCCATAACGAAAGAACGTTTGAAGCTACCATACGCGGATTTCTTTAAAAATTATCCTGCATGTCTGTTACGATGAAAAGAATGTTCTCAAATGCATTAAAATTTAGTTTATAATCTAAAAAGTTGTTTTTGTCGTATTGCCAAAAGTTTGATAAAAGTCGAAAAAACAATTAAAAACTACCACCACGGTATTCAAAATAGTTGAAATAATTATACCTGTGTAAAAATAAGATAATTTTTCGTTTTATCGATTTTTCTATGAACTTTACATATGTTTTTCTACGCGTTTTTATGGAGAACCCGCAAAATTCTTAAGTTTTGAGCAACATTAAAAACTTAACTTTTTAGATTATAATTTGTAAACTCAATATTAATTAATGACTTACTGTTACTCGATAAAATAAATCAATATTTTTTTCAAAAAGCTGAGAAATGTTTACATAAGAAATTGATTTTCAATCATTTTTTTGATCGCCGAAGATACTATTGAAACGTTTTGAAACAACTAAAAATACTTTTTATAGAAAAATAATCGTAATAAAAATTTGAGAACTTTCTTTTTATCTTAGCAGACATGCAGTGTTATGTTCAAAGAAATTCGCGTGTGGTCGCTCCAAACGTTCATTCGTATTTGGCGTTTTGGTCCATGTATATATATACCTGTCGAAATAGTGGTGAAGAATAGGTGTTTTTTGGTACATTAAGTACAAAGTTATCAGTACCAAAAAAACACCTATTTTTCACCGGACATTTTGACAAGTGTGAAATTGTGGGTATGGTGTACGTGTTCATCAAACTCAAAGCTATAAAACTATCAAAACTTCAGATTAAACTAAAGAGTAGGAAAAAAGTTTTACATTGATCTGTGCACAGGTGTTAAAATCCTTATTTAACATATCCCATTTAAATTGTATAGGGGGCGTCGAGGTTAAAATTCGAAAATATACTTTTTAATAACCATCTTAATATATTGAATTTATTTTATAAAGTTTAACCTTTAAACACTTATAACGTGAATTCACTACACAAGAGCATGGTCACCTGTATTTAGTTTAGTGAGTGACGACTATCATACAAACAGCTTTGTAACTTTATGATATTTACCTTTAGAGAATGGGTGTAAATCCAGATAGATTGACTGTTAGTAACGGTCAAAATGATATAAACCAAATGGGCCAAGTAATGTTGTTGAACGGTAAAAGTATGTTACACCCTTGGAAGACTGACGAATGCAATTCAGTCGGCGGAAGCGATGGTATGTTCTTTCCTAGAGATAAAGTGCAACGCGAAGAGCCTATTCATTTATTTCACAAAGACTCGTGTAGAAAACTACCATTAACATTCCAGTCCAAAGAAAAAGTAAAACATAAAAAATTGTTAATTTTGATTTAATATGGTTACAATTTTACAATAGTATTTTAAATAAATACAATTTTTTAAATTTTAGATTAAAAGTGGTGTTATTGGACATATTTACACATTATCACCATATGCTTTTAATAATTCTGCCCCCGAAAACAGTTGTTATTGCACACGTACACCATGTATGCCTGACGGTATATTCGACATGGGACCATGCTCAACTCGTAAGTACCTTATAAGTTATACTATTGTTAAAGCTTAAATTGTTATTTAAAAAAAAAAAATGTATGTATAAATTTTTTAGTTTCACCCGTAGTCATCTCTCGTGCTCATTTTCTCTATGCGGATCCTACTTTACTAGACGCAGTTGATGGTCTCAATCCTGATCCAGAAAAACACGAGTTCTTATGGCTCGTTGATCCAGTAAGTACTATTTAGGAACTAAAATTATATTTTAAACACAAAAACATGATTTTGTGTTTAGATACTTGGAATAACTATGGAAACTCAAATGAGGATACAGCTCAATATTCAAGTGCGCAACCCATATGGTTATGGTTCCTTAGTGAAAATACCTGACAACACCATACTACCATTCACTTGGTTGGAAATAGTACGTGCTTATATTATATTTGTGCATTAACATAGTCAAATATCGTTCCCTGTTAAACATTATTTTACTTCTACAGAAAACAGGAAAAATATCACCAAAGTTGAATAGTGCTCTGTTTCATTTAACTTTTACCGTCCAGTGGATACAAATGTTCCTAATGTGTTTAAGTCTAGCTGGTCTATTAGGGACATCTTTTTGTCTCTTACGATTTCTAACTAGACGTTTAAATACGAAGATGGTAATAATTACAAATGAAATCCAACCAATCAATACACCATGTGAAAAAATTCCTATTGTTTAATTAGCTTTTTTATTGTTTGTTTTTAATTTAAATATGAGAAGTGTTTTTTTCATTATATAAATATTTATTACAAATCATTGTATATAAAAATTCTTTTTAAATATTAAAATTTAGGTACTATAATTTATAAATTTTGATGTACATCTTGGCTACAACTTCTTTTATATAGTATGCCAAATCAAACTTTCGAAATTTATTTAAAATACATAAGCCATAAATAACGAATTATGTACTTTTAAGATAAACTTTAAATACTTAAATCAATTTTTTTTACTTTTAAATATATTTGTACGCTTTGATTTGATTAGTACCTAATGAAATGTATACTATGAATGTTATTATAATTGTATAATCACAAATCTCAACTAATGTTACATGCTTTGTTCACATGTGGGAATTTAGAAAATCTTTGTATTTTTGTTAATATTCTGTCAATATAATATCAATTTGAAATAATTTAAATATGATAGAATTATTTCAAAGTTAAAAAATAATGCTTTGTGCTTAATATAATTTATGACCGTTAATACAGTATCATGCAAAATTTAATTTAGGTACCAGTGGCGTTGGAGTGTACTTAAGTGTAGCCTAGACTACAAAAGCAAGTTTAGCCTGAACCTTTTTTTTTGTAACAATATTATTTTTTAACAATGTTTGTTCACCCTAGCGCTAACTACTAGCTAAATGATCTCAAACAGTTTGTCGATTTCTTCAGCTTGGTGAATCAGCTGGTGTATTCCTTTCGATAATAAAATCTATTGGGAAATTAAAAATATTTCCTGTTTTATCCTTTCTTTTAATTTTTATGATATACTTGGATTTTCTTGTTGTAAGGAAATAAAATACAATTCTAATTTTGAGTTAAATTAATATGAATAATAAAAACTGTTCTAATAATTTTTGAATGTAAAATTTTCTCTTTGCAAATAATAATAAGATAATTAATGGTTATGTTTATGGCTCAAACAGTTATTATGGAAATTGGACATAAAACATTTCTACTTGTCGCATAGCCTATGCTACATAATTTTTTTTTTAAATTTAATATTAATGTTGATTTTATCAATATTTAAAAAAAAAAATTTAACCTTTCATTGTATATCTCTATTGTAGGTCTAGTATGACCATAACCTACCTCATTTAGACTAATACAAATTATCAAATTTTTTCATAAGGTATTTTTTGTAAGCAGTTAAACTATAATAATAATAATGTAATAAATAAATGTAATTGTAATGTTATTGCACTTGAATTATTCAAAAGGACAAATGATAAAATTAAATCAACTAACAGACAAACATAAAAATTTAACTAATGAGAAATTGTTGATAAGTAAAACCTAGAATGTATTTTTAAAACTATTGGTTCTATCTAGCCATTAAGCCCTTTAGCTGTTGCAAAATTCTGCTGCTAACAAGATTTTTGCGGCCAACTTTGGCTTTAAATAACATTGTAATAAAATATTTTTTGTAAGAGACCGCTAAAAGTATTCACTATGTTGGCAGAATGGTTAGCATGTCATTACACCTTTAATATAACAATATTTGTATAAAATGTATTTTTACATTCTGCATGTTCTATGTGCAGTAAGTCATGCACCTAGTTATATTAATAGTCATTAAAAATAAATTATAAAATTGTCATACACATGATAAATAAAGATGTATGATTGCTATTGAAATTAAGGTAAATCATTATATCAATAATTTAACTACACGTTTTAACCCTTTCATTACCGAATTAATTTTTTTGAAAAAAAAATGTTCCGTGTTCATATCTTTAATTAGTTGTACACAGTAAATCACAAAAGAGAAAATAAAGTCATGTCCATTGCAATAGACAGTGGTAGTGAAAGGGTAACTACTTAACGTAGTTATCGCATATCTTTTTTATAAAAATATATTAATGACTCATTTTTGCTAAATAATAATATGAAGGTACCTAAATATTTATTGGTAAACAATAGTATTGTTTATAATTGAATATTTGTGTAAAATAAAATGTAAACATTTATACTACATTTAAATAAAATTGTACTTTTTAAGAGTATATTTATTTGCGATTCCAAATTAAAAAAAAATTATATCAAAAAAAAAAATTATATCAATATCAATAACTTAAAAATTATAACAAAGTACTGATAGGATTTAAGTGAAAACCAGTAGCAGTATACATATTAATACATAATTGGATCTTATATTAAACTATTAAGCACAATTGTAGATATGGTTATCCGTTATAGTTCCTGTGAAAAATAACAGCAACAAAATATCAAGATAGGTATATAAAATCAATAATATTTCGACAATTTCTTTTTATTATAATCATTGTAATAGATAAATAAACACAAATGGAATAAAAAAAATGTGACAATAATAATTTAAAAATAATTAACAACAAAACAAAATAATAAACCTAAAATAACTTATAAGTGATAAACATTATGAGTATACAATTTCGCGTAATAATTACCATAGAGTAAGTACTTATGTTAGTAACAACATTTTTTTATTACATTTAATTAATCATTTTATTTAACAGATTTTATCAATGTATACAAGTCACAGTTTAGTAAGCCACAAGTACATATATTATACGTATATATACATATATCATATACATCAGCTTATTTAGTAAAGGATGTATCTCCAAAAAAATCAATTTTCGGCATATTACACTATTTGAAAGAAAAAAAACTGCGTCGTGTCTGGTATAATAATAATTATACTTCATTTTTTTTTTCTATGAAATTTTTTAATAAATAGTAAGCAATTGTTACTGAAATAAATAGAATAAATTTAAAGTTTTTTCCTTTTAGTGTGAAATTTGGTATTTTGGAGTTACGTTTATACAGGATGGCCCACGAAGATTTGACAAATTTTTAAACTTTTGTTCTAGTGAATATTTTTGAGATTTTTTTTTAAAATAAGTTAAGGTAGGTAAGCGCGCAGATAAAAATAACTCTACGCGGTTTCCTCTACCGCACTCCACCTCCCGTCACCAGTCATCCTCACTTTCAAATGAGTATAACTTTTGATCGGATGAATAAAAATACAAATTTTTTTTCACCAATTATTTTGAATAAAATGGTTATCTTGAAAAAAAAAAAAAAATGTAATAAAAAAAATTAAAAAAAAAAAACAGGTAAGTGCAATAAAAACCGTGACGCTTATAGCGCAAATGAGTGTAACTTATTTTTAAAAAAAATCTCAAAAATATTCACAAGAACAAGTTTAAAAATTTGTCAAAATTTCGTGGGCCACCCTGTATAAATATATATATATAGGCACACACACACATTCAATTTTAACTTTTTATATATTTTGCCGTTAAAAAATTCAATAAAGATTAGCACAAATTGGTGCATAAATTTTAAAAAAAATCATTTTATAACTAATAGACACTATGATGAATAATACAAATTAAAAAAAAAAATTACAGGTATTTAATACCTAGTGTTTTAAACTAAAATAGTTGATGTTTACTTTTAAAAATATTAAAAGTTTATAATGATGTACCAATAATTAGATCGCTCTGATCATTGACTAGAAAATGGTACACGAAACTAGTTTTTTTTCTAGACATAGAGGTTTTGGCATGCCCAGACTTATCTAAACGTGATCTTGGTGGGTCTCGAATAAATATTTCCCCAAATACAGAAGCTGTGACATTTGAATAAAAAATATATGAATATAAATATATATAAAAGAAATCATAATATGTTAGCTTACCAATTGTTTTTGTGTCCAAATTATTGTCATTGACATGATTTAAAAGTTCTTGTAAGAACGCACAAAGGTACAAAAAAACATTTTTACTTCTTTCTGGAAGTTGCGATATAATCTAAAAGTATTTAAAAATTAAATTCATAAATTAACATAATAACAAACCAAGTATGTCTTACTTGTTTACACTGACTGTAGTTAGAAACGGCTGATAAACAAGCAGAATGTAAATTATAGGGTATGATCGGTTCTGATGTGCTATCAAGTAATATTAGTAAAGTTTCAGCCACAGAATGCACGCTTCCAGCTGTTATTTGAAAATGACAGAAGAGAAATATTTATTGAAAAAAAATTTAATAAAATAATAAAAATAATATGCCTACGCATCGAGTCTGGAGAGCCAGTGTCTAACCAGTTACGAATTTGAATAAATTCTGATCTTAAACCAGATTGTTCAAACAAATGTTCTTGCTTCAGCCCATGTCGATATAAGTGGTCAACAAGGTACCAAACTTCTTTAGGTACTGGGTATGGATCTAAAGGTAAATTATTTTTATTGTTTTCCTAAAAATAATAAGAAATTTTTTAACTTTTACAAATAAATTGTATACAATGAAAATTGTAATTTGTTGTTATGTCCAAGCTAAAATTTTACCAGTTCCATAAGTGTGCCAAGTGGTATTTCTTTTATTGGAACTTTTAAGTAGCATAGTGTTTCTAGAGAACAGCCAAAACAACTACGTTCATATGAACCTAAAAACAACCCACAAAAATGTTATGAGTATTCATTTTGTGTTCTGCGATTGTAAAGCAGCATGTGTGTTAAAGATATACTATGCTGATAAAAGAATCAATCTCGCTAATGTATACCCCAATATTCCTCACAATATAATATTAGAAGCACTGAAAGAACACAATATTACTCCTACCAGCCCTATATCAATTCTTCATACAGGATTACCCATCAAAGGCTTTACTTATAATTTGAGTTTTAGATGCCAAATGTATTTTTTACTCAAAGACGAATATAAAATACCTAGCTCACAACTAATTAATTTTGAAAATTCAAACTACTGCATTTTTCTCTTTATTAATGAAGTAACTCATTTTTTATGCAAACTCCAAACAAAGATAAAACACAAAACTCTAATCCCTCTAAAAAACCAAACAGATTTTTTTTTAGGTAACATAGATGACCGTAAGACACCAATCAAAGAGTTCTTTGACAAGGACATTAAATTACACTTAAATTGAATACAATTAAAGATACAGTTGAAAATGACCAGAAAATTTGGATCAGAATGTGTAATTAACCAATACAATATCTCATTACAAACTATGGTGTTAATAGTTGAAGAAGTAAACCAAACCTCAATTGAGTAGTTAAAAAATTAGAATGAGGTGCCTTCAACATAAATTATTCCAAAAATGTATAGATCAATCCAACAGATTTGTACCTAAATTATGGCTATCACAAAGCAACATAAATAAATTGTATTATATATATATATTACCGGACAAGGTGATGAACGGAGGACGGGATTGGAAAACAAGAGCGGTGGATAGGGAAGGCTGGAGGATTAGATGTGTGATGGGATGGTCTTGATGGCCGGAAAACCCAAGAAGAAGAAGAAGAAGAAGTTGTCATATGGCAACATCAAATTTTTTCAAAATCTAAGTACAATTTTTTTTTTTTTTTAAATAAAAAAAATAATAAGAAACAAGCACCCAAGACACCAATTATTGAAAAAAAAACTCTGGCTTTAATGGATAAAGCACACTCAGTAATAATAACCACCACAAAATATTTTCCCAAAATTGGTAGTAGCTATCAACCATGATTTTGGTAACCAGTTGTCTTTACAGGTATATTATAATATTAAATTTACATAATTGATCTAAACACAATTTTAAATTCTAGTACTTGAGCTATTACAACACAAAAATAAAAAACTGGAGGGAATGTTTCAAAGTTTAAAGCCATAATGCTAAAATGACACCATAGACTGGAAATATTATAATGAATTATTATTATAAAGATAAACAATAGTGGTTAAACTTACTTTTGAAGTAGTATGCAAAAACTTTATTTATTTATTTTCTAAAAAATGCAACCACAATGTCAAATAACTGTCTTTTTTAAACACATATTTTACATACCAAAATAATGTTTTTATTTATAACTTACAACTAAAAGTAAGTAGGTAAGTTATTTAACTTCCGTCCTACCATTATTTTAAACCTTAAAAAAAATGTATAAAAAAAATTTTTACTCATGACTTCAAAAGTAAGTTGTTCAATTTTCATCTTTATTATTATTTTTAACATAAAAAAGTAGTTTTGAAAAAATAGAGATTTTGACAGTTATAGGGTTTTGAAAAAATGAAGTTCTTACTTATAACTTCAAACGTAAGTCAGACTGCTAAAATCTGACTTCATCTTTATTTTCAGTATAAAAAAATACAGATATTAATAAAAAGTGTTTATAGAAATACTAGACTGTGACTTAAACTGCATGTATTACAAACTCTAATTTACACTTCTCCAGTCTATAATAGAAAAGTAAGTGGCTACCGAGCTACGTGTTAACACCAAAATTAAGGCCTAAGATTTTAGGTAGATCATTTTTTATGATTTGGAACTAATATAGGGGGCATTTTGGTTAAAATTCCGAAAAATTTGCAAAATAAGAACCACTTATGTACATATTTTTTAAAAATTGTATTGTTCGTCTGTATGTTATGACATTAATTTTAATGCCTTGTTTAATTATCAATGCATATTCCTAATTATTATTATTTATAAGTACATACTTATGTGCTGTTTAATTAAAAAAGCCGGTACACGTTAATGTTAAAAATAAATAAATTATATAATTGTATGTAACCTGTAACAGTGATAAATATATCTTTGCCTCCTTCCAAGTGTAATACCAATATGTCGTACAATTTATCTTGACCACTGTTCATTTTATAAGCAGATTTTTTGTCCACCATAACTTCTAAGGTGATATCACATTTTTCACCTAAAAAAAATATTATTATTACAATTTTATGTAAAAAAAATACAACTTTAAAATCTTAAAAATTCTTGAGATTTTGATTTTTTAATAACTAAATCATATTTTAGAACAATATTTCTCCTAATATAGTTTTTTATTTTTTTTTTCGTTCGGCAAATTAAGCTAATAGGCTTATTTTTTAATTAAGGGGTTAAATTATTATCTTTAAGTTGGACCTTGTATGGTAGGCTAATATGGGTTGCCACATACTATTTTGGGTAGACACCCAACCAATGAAACAACAGTTCAAACGGTGCCTTGGGTAACACCCCAACCATTGTGCCCCCAACTAACTATGAACTATCAATGGCTTATAATTATTATATCATGAGATAATGGTTTCAAGACAGATTTGCGATCTGGGACGAGTCAGTCTGTTGCCCAAAAGGGAGATAGAGACTCCTTTTCATAGGACGATTGCTCGCCTGATAAAAAGTGTGCCTGTAACTGAGTGTCGAACGGCAACAGTGAGCGCTAACACACTGTTGCCTTACCCACTCGGGCCACTCCTCCTCTTCATCAATGGCTAGTTATAAATTAAAAACTAATAGTTTACTTTTAAATGATTTGTGATAATTTTATACAAATGTGTTAATTGTTTGATTTAATAAAAAATATACTATGCTACACAATTCACCTGGATCGATAAAATTCATAAAAGGTTCTATTCGCAACCACTCTTTACAATACGTTGAATCGTCCAACTTTCTAATGAATTCAAACTGAACAGGCACTTGCCCTGTATTAGCTACAGTGAGTTCTTTAATCTGAGATTCCATAAATTGAACATTTTCAAATATAATTTCTGTGTTATCGACCATTACTTGAGGTAGAAATTCATTTTCTACTTTATCTAGCTTTTTCATGATATCTTCATGAATTTTTCTGTATTTTGCCGTATCAACCACTTTTACCTACAAAAATAAAACAATATTTTTAATTGATGTCTAAAACCATAATGGTTTTTTATACTCACTTTAGACTCAAATAAAGCGCTAACAGGTTTATGATCACTTATTAATAAGTTAGGATGACTTCGATAAGCTAATTGCTTTATTGAACTGCCTTGCCACAATATGCGATCACACCATGCAGGAGCACGGTTTTTATCACTGACAACAAAAATAATTAGACGAGCATGAATAAAAATTTTAAATAATATAAAAATTTAGAAATACCTGCTATCCCATTCATTGGTACCAGAATCATATTTGTAAGTTGGGATAAAATGTATTGGACCTTCTTTATATCCTTTAAAAACATTTCCAATCCGATGTTGTTGTTTTAACTGATCTGCATCTAGTACGATTTTCAAATTGTTATTGCTTACCAAATCTTTTACAGAAGTTGCCGACATATCAGTTATGCGATAATTAAGATCTCCAAACCAAAAGACCTGACTGAAGTATACAAAATACAAATATATTTTAAAAATATATTTTCATAATGAAATGTTAGTTCTGTACTTATGATCTTTGATTGTTTTAGGTGGTGTGAAGTTAGAAAATAACATCCGAGAACATATGTTATGATAATCTTGATTGCGTCTTTCATACTCTTCTACGTGAGCCGCCAAATGTGAGTTGATAAAACAGAATGATGTATTGTGAAAATCCATCCTGATTGCAACTCCACCTTTATTACCCTAAAAGTAAAACTATTTGATTTACAATTATTTCAATTAATAAACAGCACATAACTTACTAATTTGCCCATTATTCCAGTGCCTACAGTATCGGTAGCAACATGTTTTATATGCTCCATATGTTTTTTCTTTACAAATACAATAAGCATCATGCCTACTAATCGGACTAATGCTACCTTTCGATAATTTGCACTTGTGTTCAGACTTTTAGAAACGGCTTGTCTAATATATTAGTAATTTATTATTATTAATAAAATAATATACATATTTGAATAGTTTTTATTTAATGAGTGATAGTTTAAATAGCAATAATAATAATTAAACAAAAATTATATTATTTGTTATTATTAATTAAAATGCATTTATTGAATCCAGTTTAGTAAAAATGTTTAACAATTTGACAAAATACCACAGTACTAACTACTAGTACTAAGTACTACTAATACTAAGTCACCTAACTGAAATGTCAGAGAATTGTCTGGCTACTATAACAGTTTACAAGATCAATCACACTTTAATCTCACAAAAATCTATTAACTAATTTTTAGTTTGAAATATAAATTTTAAATCTTTTAATTTTTATGTATAGTATTTTAAGTTTAAGGCGCAATTTTACTAATAAGTGTGGGGAGGTTAGGTTGAAAATATTGTAAAGCACTCTTCTATGTAACCTTCTGTAAACAATTTTGAGGATGCAAATTTCAAAAGTAAGGTAAAGTAGGTAAGGTTCACCTATGCCTTCCTTTAATTGAACCTTCCAGTATAGTCGGTGAAAACAACATTAAGAAGTTAAAAGAATCGGTCCAGTTATAAAAACTGTTTTATTTAATTACATTTGATTAAATTATGTTTTATTAAGTTAGGTTAAATTATTTTTATTAGTTTATGGTTTGTGACTAACACAAATAGTTATTAGCATTCCTGCGTGTTTTCATAACTTTTTTTAGAGAAATAACTTACAACCATTCTTCTTCTCGAGGAGAATCGTTAAACAGAAATGCTTCTTTGCTGAGATCAAGTTCTTGAAATCCAATAGCATAAATATCAGGAGATTCAGGATCAGAAATGAGCCAATCATTAAGTGATATTGTATTTGATTGGCCATTAACATTCCAAGTACCAATAAAAATTCTAAATTAGAAAATGAATAGTAAATTTAATAGCTTTATTATGTGATTAAATAATAAGGACCTGATTGTTTCTGCATTAGTATAATGTTCTTCATTCAATAACATCTGATGTTGTACAACACTTTCTCGCGAGTTGGGCGTATGGGCACCACTTGGAAAAGATATATCATTGTCTGACATAGCTATCTAAAGAGTAATAATATTTTCAGTATAATTAAAGAACAAAAATATTCATACAACATTAATGAAGGTATTATTACATTAGTTGTAATTTTTAAATTACTATGAGTGTTTTCGCCATTTATATTCATCATCATTCCCAATTCTAAATCAATATCATTGAAATTATATTTATTTAACCACGAAAAATCCAAAGATAGGTGGTTCTTTAAATAAACTAAAAAATAATTAAGTAATAATAAAAATATATTAAAAATAATATTTAATTTAAATAAATATTTTACTTTTCATAGCTTTGGATAACTCAGTAAAAAAGTGACTTGTTTCATCAGCTGATTCAATTCCAATAAATAATTTAACATTTTTAGATGAAATGCTAATACATATATCGCATTCAGTTCCATCAGAAGTGGTGTCTAGGATATATTATAAGTTTATTAGTATAATAATAATAATTTTTCAAAAAATAATTACAATTTTATAGTTTTTATTTTTGAAAACATTTATATTTATGTTATTGTACAATATATTAATATTACCTAATATTTATATTTTCTAGTATTTTCTAGGACGCTATCAACTTTTGAAACTTAAATGGGAATGTCTATATTTACCCAATTTTTTAAATGAAGAAGAGTATACTGAAAATGTTGACTGGTCGATAACCAGATTTAGATACTTCTTACTTAATTAAGGTTTAAAATTTAAGGCGATTTAATAAACAATTAAATTTGAATTATTATACATATATAATAATTATTTATAAAGTTTAAAATATACTTGCCTACATCACATTTAAAATCTTTGTCTATAGGCACAACAAAGTTGGTAGTGAGATCAGTGAAGGCCCGTGGTGGGTTTCTAGATGTTGAAAAAACAAACAAACCAAAAGAAGAGTTCCGTTCAACTAATACTAATAAACGATGTGTTTTAGGTGACCAGCTTTGTAATAACACTCCTTCATGAAGCTAAATATATAAAATAACATACATAATATGTATATACAAGTGTTAAATATTTACATTACCGCCACAACATTATCGCCGGAGTTCAATTTATCTTTTAATATTCCTGAAAGTTCCATTAAGATTTTAAAAAATAAAAATCATTTACATTTTTGGTATAAAATCACAGTAGTTTCTTCAATAAATCTTTGCAAGTACAGCTCAACCCTAACTAAGTAGGTTAAATAATTAATTCAAATATCGCTTTGATAATACAATTTAGTTACTACAAATCAACTGAACATACTGTATAGTGTATACCTACCATAGACTATAGAGTAATGAGTATAGAGTAATAATATATCTGAGCCGTTCCGTCAAAATATTGCTTCGATAAGTGACTCGATTTTGCAGTGGTAGCCATGACAAAATAGATAGGTATGATGTCAACTGTCGTGATACGCAGTATCAGCCATTTTGCTTTTCTCCAAACGTTATCAGGCGGTACTCGGTAGTAATAATCATGCTTGCCGCCTACGGCCTATCACAGTTCTGAATGCACATACATTTGTTAATAATTCGGTGAGGTAAGACCATAGACCTATAAAGATTTCTTTATAGGTCTATGGGTAAGACCACCTTGAGTAGGACATACATTAAAATAATTATTTTTTAATTAAAATTATAAATCTAAAAGTTATTTCATTGATTCTTTCTTACAAAAAACATTTCTAATTAACTTATATACCTTTAGTAGGTATCATACATTGTGTACTTAATGCCCAAAATGTATATAAACACATTGACGGTCATTACTGCTATAGCAGTAATATATTTTGACATTTTGGTGGCATTAGTGCTATAGTAGTAATATGAAAAATGCATGTTATGGTATTACAGCTATAGAAGTAATCTTTTAAATGGTATTAAATGATAAAGGAAACTCGACTATTGGGCGAACTATTCAGTATTGGAAATTTAAAAAATTATGAGTGTCCATCGACGTGTAAACCTAGGAATGGGATTATAAAAACATACACATTTGTATAGATATTTTTATAACCCAACCTTTGTGATTTAAGGTTTAGAATAGACCTACAGTAACTCCTTCGAATAAATGACAATTAAATAAAGATAGTGGTAGAAACTAGTAACCTCTACTACCGACCATTTGATAGGATTCCGCAACAGAACAGTAATAGAAATAAATAATAATTGATGATAGCAGCTTGTACATCTCACAAGTGCAGAGTACTGACTACTAGCTCATCAATTGCGATGCAGAAAGCGAGACGGTCTTTAAAGATAGAGGACAATGGAGAAGCACTGATATATATATACAGATATTAACTAGATAAATACAAAAAATATATGTAACAATTGTTATGTTGTTTTTAGTTTACATGAACTAATTAAGCACAATATTTATTACACTAAATCTTAAATATATAATAAATAGTATACATAATTTAGTTCATAGATAATAAACAATTTTAGGGATTATATTGTTGAGAAAATATTTAATGTTAACAAAAAGTCTTTGTCAAATGTAAACATTTTTAAATTGTTAAAAAAAAACAATTTGAAATCCGAATATAATATTATACTTATTATATAGTATTGTTAATTATTATTCTCTATTTCAGTTCCACTCGTTGTTTACATAATTTACAAACTATAGTTTTGGCGCGCAAATACGCAAATCAATTTAAAACCTCATTACTTATCCTACTTTTTTTTGTTTACTGTTATTAAATATGGTAATTTTGATAAGGTATATACCATGGCTTAAATATATTTAAATCATGGTATATACTATTATAAACAAATGAAGGAGGTTTGGCGCTTTTTTTAATAAGTATTCGCATAGATTATATACATGTCTTTAATCTATGGTATTCATTTAACGGCGCTTAATCAATTGTGTGGTTAAATGTTGTCTGTAGACGATTTCTTGGAAATTCCGATAAAAAGAAATATGAAATATTATTGATTCAGTGATAACGAAAATCAATATATTAAATTTTCTGTATGCCAACGAATAAGATATACATATACGATTCAGAATTGTATTTAAAATACTTTTCCTAGTTTTCTATTGAAATTATGAAGCCGTTTCGTGTGGCAATTGAAGGAAATGTTGGTTCTGGTAAATCAACTTTAATTAAATATTTTCAAACTTTTAAAGAAGTCGAAGCGAATCCTGTAAGTTTTTTTATGCCATATTCTCATAAATGTATTAACTAATTTAGTACCTACTATTTCATAAACATTTTTCAAATAATTTTTTGAATAATAATAATAATGTATTTTGTAGTAACTTAATAATTATATTATTTTCTGTCAATTAAATATATTAGTCTGATCATAACCTATGGATTTACCTAATATATAATAATAAATATTTCAAATATTGTTAATACAAGGAGCCGATAGAAATGTGGCGTGATGTGGATGGTTACAACTTGCTTGAGCTTAATTACTTGGATCCTAAGAGATGGAACTTTGCTTTTCAGCATAATTTACAACTAAGTCGGTTAAAATTACAATCAAAGGTGACTGATAAAAAAATTCAAATGTTTGAACGGTCATTACAAAATAATAGGTAAACCTTATATCTCTAATATAGAGCGAGCGCTCAAACATTAAATAGGTAATCATATTTATTTTAATTTAGGTTTTTTTATTTGAATCAGGTATTGCTTTGTAGAAATGGCTCATGATAGTGGAACACTATCTGGCCCTGAATATAGTGTGATGTGCCAGTGGTATGAATTTATTGAGCGTAATGTTGATATTGGATTAGATTTGATTGGTAAGTAATTGAACCTATAAAATTGTGTATATTAAAATTAATGATAACCTATATGTAAACATTCAGTTTATTTAAGAAGTTCACCAAATACAGTGTTCAAACGAATGCAACGTCGTAATCGCCCAGAAGAGCGTAATATGAAATTAGAATATTTGGAAAAATTGCACAAATATTATGAAAAATGGTTAATGAAAGATGACCAAAGCTATTTGCCATGCTCTTTGTTGGTACTGGAAGTAAATAAAGACTTATCAGACCAAGAATTAACAGGAATTTACAAAATGTATGAAGATCAGATTTTAGGGAAAAAAGCCACATCATAAGTATTATATAATTAATGTTAACACATATTTTTAAGTATTGTTTTGTAGAAGATCGTTATTGATTATAAAATTAAAAAAAATTCTATTTATAATCCTAAGTAATTTGTATGATTAAAACAAGTTTTGCACTAATATTTTAAATAGATTAATACTATTAAATATAATATAATAAAACAAATGCAACTATCAAGTATATAAACTTTACATTGTAAGGTAATTTTTTTTTTAACCATAAGTATAATTATTACGTTTTATTTAAATCTAAACATGTTTTTTACGTGGTTCTTTTATTGACAATTCTTCTAGTCTTTTGTCTGAATCAAATCTTTGTGAGAGTTCAGAAGAAAGTTGTAAATCTACAGTATACATGCATGCACAGCAAGATGGCAGTCTAAAACTATCATAATACATTTCTTTTGAATCTTTTATTGCCACTAATTTTCTGTATATGTATTTTTGCACACAGGTTGTTGTATAACCGTTTGGTAAATTTTCACTTAACTTGCATGGTTCTCCAGAGTTTCTACATTAAAAATATGACAGTTAATTAAATTTAAACAAAAATTATTAATGTTAAATAATAAAATTAAAAAGAAACGTAATACCTCCACTTTAACTATTAAAAAAAACAAATGATACTGCTTAAAATTACTGGGGGGAGGTAGAAAAGGACTAACCAAGTGTTTTTTGGTAATAAGTAAGCAGTATTTTGAGCATATTTTGAAAGAAAATTACTTTATCATCAAACGGCGAACACCTTTTTTCAATTTATTAGTTAACCCATAACATTTTTTATGCTGACAACGTATAATCTAACACATGCAATGTATTTAGTTTGCAAGTTATACTGTTATAGACGTTAAAAGATTGCGTGTGTTAATCATGACTAGATAAAAAAATAATCAAGTATAATAGCAAAATTACATTATTATTTATTACAATCTTCCCTATGTTTGCACCACAGACTTCTATTAACTCATAGATATATATAATAAACTAGATTGCAAACTGTACATGCCACCAATAGAGAAGATTGAAGCAGCCACTTTCCGCCATTTCGGTGGGAATTAGAACCTTATCACGCGAGAATAATATATGTTTACAACAATTAAATATATAATATTGATATAATTATATATGCATTGATAACACACATAAATCCCACCAGAATGGCGGACCGTCGGCTTCAATTCTTATCGCTAGTTAGCAATCTAGTTTATTATATATACCTGTACTAACTAGATAAGGTACTCCTGTTATCACATGAAGCATCATAATGAGTACGCGCCATTATTTGGGTTGGAAAAACATTAAATCTTTTTACTATGAAGTGTATTATCGATTACGGCAAATGTCGTACCCACTTAATAAAGGTCTTTACTTATTATTTATTTGTTGTTATTAAACACATATTAAAAATATTATACACCTTCTATGTGATTATAAATTATTCGCCAACCGAAAACATGGTGGTCGTGTGATAAGTTTGACTTCACTACCGCAATTTAAAACGCCCCGAGTACTTATCTAGTTAGTATAGAAGTCTGTGGTTTACACACTTGTCCCAGTCATGGAAGATGTTATAATTATAAATTAGCGCGATAATACATCTTCAAGGCTGAGGAAGAATTATCCTGCGCAGTTATATTATAGAGCATTTGTGGCTGTACTCTGTTTATTTCATAGACCTTAATAATATACTTGCGGATGGCGTAGTCATGGCAATCGTCGTATTGACGATGTATTTATAATACATTTACGTTTTTTCCCTTGCATGCAATCATATAAAAGTTCATTTTTAGTGTCGCGCCAGTTACTACCGACTCTAGTAAAACATGCTCGTGTAAACCCATGATAAAATTCAATCGGCGCAACACTGACAGATTCGTAATCAGCATAAAAATTACTATGAATTTTAAGAAAAATCGAATAAAAATGTCAAGTAAAGTAGATTTTTGGGCGGTTTTACACGAGGTCACTTATAGCAATACTACTTTTGCACACCGCGTTCTGCAGCGAAGCAACCCCGTTATAATATAATCTGTAGTATACACAAATTCACTTTTATATAATCTACCGTCTATAGAGCTATTAATCTGTGGCTGCGGTCGTATGTGAAACCACCTATATTTCTCAAACTTTTTCCGTTTTTATAAGAAGCGCTAATGGGTGGCTTCGTGTAAGACCGCCCTTAAATATACCGAACATTTTATCTGAAAACTTGATAAGATATAATTTGTTAAAACTTTTATAAATTGAAACCATTAGTTCGATTTTTTTCAGAACTATGCATGTTGCATGGTCTATCTTAAGAGGAATAGTCGCGTATTCTGGATCGTTTAGTCGCGGTTGGGGCTATTCCTCTGAAGATGGACCCTGCAATGGGTTCGAAGCGTCAGCTAACAAAAACATGGATAGATCCGCAAAAATGAAACTTAAGAAATGAGACGTAAACTGTTGTAATTATATGAACAAGGTTATTTTATTTGTTAAAGAGGAAGTAAAAAATGTATATGTTTATTACTTACATACACTTTTCCACTCTAATGCCTTGTCTATAATTATTACTGTCATTATTTGGACCTTGAACAATATAACGCCATTCATTGTTTTTATTAAGGCCTGCTTCTGGATAAACTATTTGTTCCTAAATATGTATTTTTAAATATAGAAATTTAGTTTTTACAAACACATGAATAATAACATACTTTAATATGATAACATTTAATGGTTTTACCGAATTTGTATATACTACATTAAGTTTCTATACAAAGCTTTGCCTAGCTACCTCTAACAGCATCAACACGTATAGGGCGTATTTTTGATACTTCATAGTAGAATCAAATTATTGTCAGATGTTTGTCTAATGTGTATTCTATTAATAGAGAAAACGGCAAATGTTCTATAAACATTGATATTATGATAATTAAATTATTAACAGAGGTACGCTTAGTCTGTACTGTCAATCCAAATATATATGATAGTTAGTATTAATACAATAAATATAAGAATAAATAAAACAAATTTAGGCCGTAACAAAAAAAAAAGTTGTTCAACTATCATTGAAATAATGTACATGAGTAATAAAATTTAATCAATTTCGTCAACATTGAAACATTAAATGATAAGGGCATAAAACGAATATCAACATGTAATTTTTCTGCGGATTTTTCATTTTTTTATTAAAATCATAGTAAGATGTATCTCTTGGAAATAATATTAAAGCTCCTTTTTTGGGATTTCAAAAAAGTTTAAAAACTGCTGGTTGTTCTATTAGTGTCGCCTATCTAAATGTAGTATATTTGATCAACGATAGGAGGAAGAAACCCTTTAAAATGTTTTCATTGGAGGATAATTATTTTTATTTAAAAATAATATATGCCTATGCCCTATACCACACTAATAGTTATTGTATCCTGTACAAAAATAATATTTAATACTTACTAATGAACCACAGATTGGCTGGGGCTCAACACTTTTTAATGATATTCTTGTTTCTAAATCAGTTATCTTTAATAGTAAAAATAATAAATTAATATTATAAAATTGTATAAATTTGTAATTGTCTACTTACGGCATCTACTCCAAATAGTCCACTTGACATAAATTTGCTGGTGCGAAAAATTTGTTGTAAATCTTGTCTATTGTAAAATTAAAACAATCTCAATAACAATAGTTGGTTAATCGTTCATAATTACCTTGGGTAATTGTCAACTTTATCACAATAACTATCATTCTTAGAACAGTTGTCAATAATTTGTCGGTCTGGTATAAATTTATTCACAGAAATTGTGTGGACAGCCTCTTTAGCAGAGTTAGGAAATACGACTATAGATGAAGACTTGCTTTGAGGTGTTTTTAATCCATTACTGACATGAGTGGTACTATCATTTGATGGTTGCTCCCTCGTTGTAAACGATTTTGTTAAATTTGTTGTTGAAATTCTAACATTTGTAGTCGTAATTATTGCTCTTTGTTCATACCTAAAATATTTTTAAAAAAATAAGAGTATTAGAATTTAGGGCTAGTTGAAGTTGTTATAGAAGTACATAGCACTCCGTAGTGACTAGAAAATACATACGAATATGAACATTTTTCAAAGAAAATTTTTAAATATGGTTTAAAAATAACTTAATGCATTGTCATTTTTTTTTCTCTTTTCCACATGCATCCTTTGCGTTTCGGGGGGAACTAGCCTGGTGGGGCATTGCTTCCCCCCCCCCAATGCATTGTCATTTGAATCATAGTAATGTTCGTTTGCCACTTTTGCGAGCCTTCTCGGGAGGGTATTATGTTATTTATCGTCAAAATGTATACATATATTAACGATTATTATTAATTAAAGAATCAAAAACTCGTATTTGTATTCTCAAATTTAGTACTGCTAAGTTCACAAATATAAAATTGATATTAGTGTGACCATACAGTTTACCTAAACGAATACAGCAAGTCAATGTTATATTATAATCTATAACTTATATGATCTCAATTATGTGAGTGCCAGCAGTGGGGCATTCGAAATATTTGAAGGGGGGGGGGATTATGATTACATACAAATTGTTGTGTTAACTGTTAACAATATCTAATTTTATATCCCTATAAGCTGTCCGGACCCGGCGTTACCCGAGATTTAGTCTGCCAGGGCTGAGTAAAATAATTCCCATTCCCCCATTCCCACCCCATCCCTATCCCCGCCGTCATCCCCACCACCACCTTTCATCTTTAATCTCTTATCTCATATCAGATAACAGCGTAACAGCGTTTTTGTGACACTTTTTTTGGTTATTATGTCCTCCTCTTACTCAAGAATCCCAGTCTCAGTCCCAGATCCCGTTCCAACAGTTAAAAGCTTGCCCAGAATCGTGGTACATAAAATTGGCCTGCTTCTATAACCATCACCTACCATTTGCTCGAGTACAGTGGTTACCATGGTTACAAACCAAGTGTATTTTTTTGGGGTTACTATGGTTACATAGATTTCATTTATTTACATTTCGTATTTAAAGTACAAAGTTCGTGTTTGAGGTCATCCTTAGGGGTGGAATTTTCGAAAAGTACTATGTCAGTTAGGTTCGCGGGAGTATACTTAACAACTTCCTAAAGTTTCATGGCGATCGAATGAATGGTATACTAATGCATGAAGGACAAACAAACCAAAATTCATTTATATATATATATATATATAGATTTAACATATTTACTACAAAAAAATACAATTTTACACATGAAAGAACAAATTGTCAATACCACCAAGAAAAAATTATTTTAACTAAGAATGTTTACTTATATGTGTTTGAATCCACCGTGATAGGAGTTGTGGTATCTTGAAAAAGTGAATTTGTTCTTTTTGTTCTTGTATAATATTCTTTAGGCAAGAACGAATATTCTCGCCAGTTTAAATTATATTCGTGTGGATATTGCGCTTTTATGCACGTCCATTGAACCTACAAAATATTGGTTTTGTTGTTAACAATTGTGGGTACATTTTTAATATTGTATATAGGGCGAATCATTAAGGATAAGATACTCAATATCTTTTAAAATAAATGCAATTTTCTTTAGATTTTAAAAGATTGTTATTTATGATATTAAAAAACAATTAAATATTTATCTTTTTTTTATTTTTTAACTTTTAAACTTAAATCATGACGTATATATTTTACTAACTTCTTATGTTAAGAATAATTTTCTGAAAATTTTGAGTTGTCGATAACCAGTTTTGGATAACTAATTTTAATTTTTAAAGTTTAAAATAATTTGTTTGAATAGTTAGGCTTATTTTATTTATTACACTTTTAATAAAGTGTAATAAATAAAATGTCCTTAGAATCCTAAATAACGTTAAGTATACTTTAGAATTAATTAACTATTCAGCCTATTATCATTGATTATAAATATTATATTTATTTATTATCAATGCAGAATTCAGATATAAAATCAAATTTAAATCAAAACCGTAATGTTACTACCAAACAATTTTTTAAAACTATAAATAATAAATACGATTTTACAAAATAATTAACTGAATGCAGTAAACTTTTTCTGAAAGTGATTTTAGTGTAATTTAATGTTTCTAAATAACTTATCTACTCCCTTATGTCACTCCATTATTCCCTTAGCTCTTTTATGTGTAATGTGATTGAGGATCTTGGTATATCTTTTGATTCAAATTAGATCTCCCAGATTTACATTGATATAATAACTTATAACATTAAAACCAGGGATTTGTGAATTGATTATGCTGGACTTCAAGCTTACCACTTTTTTAATGTATTAATCGCTAGGTCGTTTTACTCTAGAGTTTTATCTAGCACCGTCATACAGCAAGTGGTAGTCTTAAGCTTGAACGTGTACAGCATATATTTTTGAAATTTGTTGCCTATGTAGTATGTACTGCATTTTGTTTGCCTCCTTTAGACACTAGAAACTTTTGTATTCCTTTCTGTGCAGTTGATGGCTAATGATGATCCGTCCATTTACTCTTTTATTGTATTTTTATTATATTTACTTATTATATTGTTAAACTACTGTAATTGGGCTTTGACCCGTCTATAGTTTCAAATAAATAAATATTGACACATTTCAAATGTGTGATACTACTTCCTAATCATTTTCCGAATTCCGTCCCAATCCAACTTTGACCACTAATGGTACTGGTTTCTTTATTCTTTTTGGGTCGGAAATTCTTATGATTGTTTGAATAATAAGTTCTAAATAATAATAATGGGAGAAGAAAAAGCGGCGATTAAAGTTTTTTAGTACAATATGTACAAATTAAAATTCGATAAATATACTCATAAGAGATGAGAATAAAATTCAAATTTTGCTAAACTTAGACATTTTCGATTACTAAAATACAGATCTAGAAAAAACTTGAGCAACGTATGGTGTTATATATTATAATAAGGAAGAATGGTGTTATATAAAGAATTAATATTTAAAACCTTTAACCATAAAATAATGTTGTCATCTTCAGAGCTAACGACAAACTAGCTCATTAGCGCTGAAGATTACAACATTGTTGCCGAAATGCGTAAACGCAGATTGTATTATTTTATGGTTAAGGGTTTTAAATATTATTTTCTTGAAAATACAGACGTTTGTGTTTGAATAACAATGGTGAGTTTGATGATGAATGAGGCTGAAGGAGATTCTGGTTTGAGTCATAGAATGGCATATTTATATAGTTTTTTATTTTTATTAAAAAATACAAATTTTGAAATTAAAATTATTCAAAGTTTGAGTAATGGTTTGGACACTTATAAACTGAAGGGCTTAATTATCGATGTTGATAATTTAAATAATTGACAGTACTGGATTACTTGAGATTCGTAATCGCCCTGGTTCAGAAAGTTTTATTAAAGGATTAATTTCTAAATTTATATGGGTTAATGATTGACGTTATTGCCCTTTTACTATTTGTTTTGGTTCATCAATTAATTCTGTACTGGTTTGTCCTTGGGCGTCCGGCGTAATACGAGTATTAAAAATAAATATGATAAAACTCGGTTTGACTTCACGTCAGTTGAAGAGATGGCAAGATATTGAATTTTACTTAGAATATCCTCGCCTTGTTTCATATTCCCTCCTACTGGCTAAAATACACACATTGGTCGGCATGCGTTATATTGATAGAGGTATAAATGAAGTTTCAAAAAGTTAATCTGTTAGTATTGCTGCAATTCAACAATAAACCGTTCAAGATAATCATAAATAATAAATAATTTTTTACTTATTTTTATATTCAAAGACTCAAGGATTTCAGTTGAAAACAGCCGGATGCATCACAAGTACACTTTCTAACGACGTCACCGTGTTACTGCTTACCACGTTTATTACACTGACACAACGTCGGACGTCAAATAGTCGAATTCTTATGTCACCTAATCAGAATTTCTATTTGGTAAACAAAACTTACATCACAGTAGTCCGTCGTCTATCTTACTATATAATTAACCAAAAGTGTTTAATTATATATTTTTTTGTACATATTTAAGGTAAGTTATTGTGTGTTTATAATCACATGACATCTAGTAATGGCAGCCAAATAATATGCATTTGTCACAAAAATAAATAATATATAAAGTTGATTAACTTCGTAAAATTAATGTATGGAGTTGTAATTAAAATATTATTGATAATTAAATAAAACTAAAATATATACATACAATAATTGTATTTTGATTGAATCATGTATACGCCAATTTTATTTTATTTACTTGTATCAAAAATGGCTCTTACAAGATCAATATTATTGAAAGTTATTTGATTAGGTACTAGCAGTAATACAATGATCGTGTATTATACGTGTACGTACTGGTGGAGTTACATCTTGAAAATATATAAATTTATATATTTTTTTTTTTTAAATTATTAATACCCGCAGCATCTGAGACTATTGGGTCATTAAAAATATAGTATTGACAACTAATGAAAAAATTTGATATCGAGCTTCAGTATTTATATATTTATAAATGATAAGTAATAGGTGTTCCGTGTTGATCGTATAAAATGTTAATTATACTTACAATTAGTACAGATTTTACAATAATAGGTCGAGAAAATTAAGAATATAAGCCATTGTTAAGTGTACTATTTGTGTAAGGGCTACGTTGTGTTATAATTTGGAACTAATATTTTAGATAATCATTTTTTTGTAAAATTAATTCATTCGAGTATTTAACCAGAATATTTTAGAAATTTGATAACGTTAAATAGGAATTGGAAAATATCGAAATAAAGAGCTAAATGGTATTATATTATAAACGTTGAGAATTTATACTAGTGGGTTTATTTTTACGAGTTGTATTTAGCAAATAGGTAAAAAATTAAAATATAATGATACCTAACATATTGTTATTTGTATGTAGAAGTTTTAGACCAATTGTAATGTAGATAATACATATTTATAAATAAGTACTTCAGAACACGAATTCTATGTGTAATTAAAAAATAATTATACTTATAAAAATCGAAATAGAAAATGTTTGCTTCAAGGTACAAATTATATTATATATATTATAGTGCGGCGTGTCACGTGATAAGCCTTGCAGCTGATGATTTCAATGATAGTATAATTGAGATTTGATATTTTATTTTTTGTAAAAATATAGTGCTTATTTGTTTGAGAATCTTTTGGTCGGTGTTAACTATTTTGAGATTTAAGAAAGTCAAGTATGAATGACGCCATGTTGTCTGTAGACAATCGTATTATATGTAATTTATAATATATTGTACCAACGAGCTATTTATAATAAATAATGAATAGGTGTAATAAACAGACAATAGTATGCATTGAATAGTAAACGGATATTATAAATTGACAACCTTAACATATTTATTTTTAAGTAAATTTCTGTTTAATTCTCATGGCCGAAACATTTACCGAATGTTGTATTTTTACTTAACAGAATTAAAGTAGGTATTTATAAGAATAACAAGTAACGCTAACTGCTAATCAAATGAAAATACTTCATTACCGTGCTAATGAGGACCAGAAATGTCATCAGCCACGGCCATTGGATCATTTTGCCTGAGTTTTCACATTCACGCCAAATTAAAAAAACATTTGCCTGCAGCTGTCTGAGTATTCCATGATATTTGTACAAAGTATCGTTTTTAAGTATTATAGGTATTAAAAGCACAACACGCGCACACCACAGGTCAGCTTGGCTGCTATCTTAACACTGGCCTAGGTTCGGTTTAATGTACATTCGTACCGGTTTTTTGCCCACCTGACGTTACTGTAAATTACTGTACATCATAAATTACGTTTAAACATATTTTAATTATTACTTATTATTTTCTGGTTTTGTAGTCTGGTTTATTATACCGAATTTCTCGGTAGATGTACCTTTGGTAAAATGTGTATAACGCTTATCTAGAAGTGCGTTAATTAATTTTATAAATAGATGTACTTCCTTATCTCTGTTATAATTTATTGGTTACTCGCTATATAATATTATTAGCCTATTGCTATGTAAATCGTATCGTACATAATATGATAATCGACGCTAAAATGGCAAACGACATTTTTGTCATTTTTCAGGGTGTATGCTAAACCGATAGAGTATCGTGGCATTTGCGCTATTATATTAAAAACTAATTTTTGACAAAAATTTCGTTTACGACTTTTTGCTATTTAGTGTCCATTATTATATATTGAATGTTATATCGCAATTTTTTTTTTGTTTCAAAACAGAAAACTGACTAGAAAGAATTGCAGAATATTTATCGGCCAATTAATTTACCGAGTGCATTTACGGTATATATTTTTGAATCAAAACATTTTAAAATGTATAAAAAGGGTTAAAAAAAGAGATTTTATAGAAAGAAAGAGTGGTGGTGAGAGGAACGAAAATTTGAGAAATAGCAGGACACCAGAGCAGGTAAAGGGAGTCACTGGCAAATTCATCGCCATGACGAGGGCAAAATGGGGAATCATTTAGAGAGAGCTTAAAAGCGTGGTAATTGGTATGGAAGTAAAGTTATGTGAATTACTATTTAAAGAATTAAAATTCAAAATATATTGCATAGTTACGGTGTGGTGACCCTAAAAAAGTTGATTTTTAAATTTTAACCTCGACACCCCCTAAAAAGTTTCTAAATATAATAAAAATGAGATTAAATAAAAATATTAAATTTAACCCTTATTCCACTTAAGTTGAAGTTTAAATGGGATTTAACATAGGGTACACTTGTACAAATCAATGCATAACATTGTTCCTACTCCACAGTGTAAGCTGAAATTTTGATATATTTATAGCATAGAGTCTGCTAGACACGTACACCATACCCAAAAATTCACGCTTGTCAAAATTGTTGCTAAAACATGAAAATGTAGCATGCGCATATGTAACGATTTTTGATTTCTGCGCAATTGCGTTCTCTCTTAGTTCGGAGTATAGACTCAACTAGGATAATAACCTAGAAAAAACTTAAAGCAACTTATATAGTAAACAAATTATTACTTAAACCCTTAACCATAAAAATAATACACTATGCATACATGTATTTTGGCAACAATGTTATCTTCAGCGCTAACGACAGGCTGTCGAAATTTTTTTAAAAAATCCTAACTTTTGGAATTTGAATAACCTACATATTTTGTACTTAACTCACGCGTAACAAAACTTCAAAACCCAAATTAACTATTCATAACAGAAATCAAACTAAAATATGTATTATATTAACTTTGTTACAGTCTACAGATCTAAAAAGATCTTGAAGTGTGTATATTCGCGTCTGGACTCATAATAATTTTTTTAATTTTTTCAACTACTGTCTACTTTACCGATTACTTCATGTATAAATAAAACAGTTCCACTGGACCGACAAATAGGCCATATTTCACTTACTTAGATGTACCTAGTGTGCCTATAGGCTATATTGTAAGACAGTTACCAACCAGCTTATGCACTTTGATTGGTCTTAGTATACATGATATAGTTTTAGTCAAGATGTTTTTGGAAATAAAAAAAAATGACAACCTGTGTGAAGTGATTATTAACCCAAGCAAAATTCTTGTCATATTATGTGTACCTAGTTTTTTAAGAGGGCCATTTTCAGGCGACGTCCTGTGTTCGGATAATAGGATGCTACCCACCCAATTATTAAGGAATAAACTATATAGAGAACTTTTCAAACAAATTTAATTTAGCTATAGAATATAGAACACATTATATTAATACTATTATTAATACAGCAATGAGGATTCTTTATTGGTTATTTGTTTTCGTGTAGACTATCACAATTGTATCTATAAAAAAATAACATAAAAAGAGTTTTGCATAACTCAAAACCAAAGTATTTTGGAATTGTTTCAAAATCATCAAATTTTCACGGTAAATAGATATATTATATATTATATCAAACAGATATATATATATATATATGTATATATATATATATATATTTGTGGGTTGTGACTTGTGTTATCAAAAATATCACTAATCGGTAATCACTTGCTTTTTCGTTGTATCACAGATAGGATAAAACTAAAAAATAATATTTATTATTTTGTAATTTTGTAACGTATTCTATAATCGCTTTGTATGTCTTATTAGCTGTGATTTTTATATTTAATTCAATAGTTGTTATAATTATAAACATCTTATAAGATTCAAATTTGTTATAACTATTTCAATTTTAAATTAATACATCAACAATGAATAATTATTTAATGGATGTTGATGTGACAAAGGTGGGAAATTTGGAAGACGTCAAGAAAGAACTTTTGGTTAGTCTCAGAGAATTAAATATTAGAGGACTTAAAATCAGTTATCAGTGGTTTGTATTTTCGATGTTTACTATCATATTATTATTGTTTTTATATAATCTCAACGTTTTTAGGTGTGTAGATCTTCTGCATTCACTAGTAGTCGGTAATTTACCTAAACAAAGAAAAAAGAAAAAATGTTTGAATGCTTATAAGAAATATGATCCAGAAGTATTTAAGCGTTCACAGACAAACAGAAATGATCTCGCTGAAATAACAGTTCCTAATAGTGAAGCATGTGCATTTCTCCACGCACAAAGATGCTTTGAACTTAAAGAATATAAAAGGTATTTAGTAATTTATTTCAAGAATATTTCGAAGAGGAAGGGGTGAACTTTTTACATTTTTGGCCCAATAAAATACCTTTTGGGTATCATTTCTGACACACTGTGTTGCTTCACGACAAAATTGATTAAGCAGCTTAGAAGATATTGGGAAACACAAAACGACAGACCCAGACACAAAAAAAATAAAAACACATTATTGTTAAAACAATACCTTCTCAGCTCATTGAAGCTAAAAACACATTGTGGAATTAATATAGAGCATATTATTTTAATAATGTCCTATTTGAAAATATTAGTATGTTAATTAATTCCAATTTTTTATTATTGAGTGAGTTAATTTTTTTATAAGTTTAAAACAATATTAATTTTACTCAATATGTTTGTTATAGAAAGCTAATTCCTTGTAATTTTAAAAATGATTAGCTCCATACCAAAATAGTTTTTTACACTTATTGGGTTGTCTAGTTTTTACTTTTTTTTTTTTTAATATAGCTAGTCAAATCTATTCATACAATTCTAGTTAATTTAAACCTGGTTTAAATCAATGAAACTAGTTATTTTGTTAATTATTATAAACTAAAATAATAATTAACAAACCCCAAAAATAGTAGAATAGTAAGCTCGAGACATTTACCACTGGGCCATAACCAATTATAAAATATTGTTTTCAGTTGCATATATTTATGTAGGTTAATTTCACAATCAGTTAGAAGCCCCAATTATTTTTCATTTATGTAAATTAATTAATACAATTTTTAGTTTCTGCAAATTTTTAATTTTAAGAATATATCTTAATTTTACACTCTAAAACATAAAAGTTATTTGGAGTTTTTTTTAATTTTTAGGGGATATATTATTTTTTTTAATTTTTTTACATATTAAAGCTAAGTAAGTTGTACAAAACATTATTGATTTCATAAACAGAGTTTAGCTTAATAACAGTTGTGTGTTAATGGTTTATGGAACCAATAAAGTTTTGTGCAGATCAGCATAAATGTAATTAAGATTGATAATTTTCTTCTTCTATCTTGTGATTGACAATCATTTAAACTCTTTCTTCATACCAGAATTGAATGGTATTTATTTTTTGTCTTGTTAAACCAAGCAATTCCCTACTGTCCATGATTTTGCGTGGTGCTCAAAGGTACTGCAGACTGTCCATCCACAACTACATATTTGGTTATCCTGGATACTCAATTTTGCTAAATTTAGTTTGTCCTCATACGCCCACTTCTATTATATTTAATGTTCTCAATAATACATATGGGAGGTCATGTCCAGATGAAAGATATTATAAGAAAGAAACTCCGTTAAAGAAGGTTGTTCCTGACATTGCCATGACTGCTCTTCTTGCAGTGGGACTCCCAGTAGCCCACAACAGTTTAAGAAAATTTTTCTGGAACACTTTAGGGAGGGGGGGGGTATATGTCCATACATGGTATCCGTCCGTTTCTTTATTTCGATCTTATCTTAAGTTTGATTTGTAGTGGAGCAATACTACTAAAACTGTATAATTGGCGCAACTAGATTGGGGGGCGGGGGCTTGGGAAGTTCAAATCCTTCTAAATTGTTTTCTTCATTTACTCTTAATGTTTAATGTCATATAAAAACATCTATCGTTCAGAAAAATGTTTATAATATTTTTTATTAGACCATAGTTATTAGTCATCACCAATCAATCAGTGACTGGAGATTCTTCATATAGAGCACTAGGTCATAATATTTTGCGGAGGATGAGGAATGTTTAGCTTAAATCCCATAAAGCTAAGAAATTTGCATTGAGCAGGTTCAATCTGTTATCAGTTTACTTCCGAATGTGAATTCCAGACAACAGAACCATACTCAAGTATTGCCTCAATAGTGCACAAAATAGTCCATCAATCAACTGTTAAATTTTTTCTGAACTACCATGTTCGATAGTTGACAATATAGGTTCAAATTTACCATATAAGATAAATTCATTTTACAATAGGCTTTTTGTTAAATTATGCGGACTTATCGTTAAACCTATACAAGTATATATTTAAAAAAAACCTATATACTTTAATACATACATTTAAAATATTAATAATTACAATTTTTTTCTTATAAACAATTTTTTATTAACAAAATAAAATAAAATAATTTAAAAAAAGGGATTACATGATTGTTAAGAGGAACAAAAAGGGTCAAATATAATATGAATAGACTAAAACACCCCAAGTAATTTTCTTAGGTAAATATGGTTATCATCCAACTTTAAACTTTTTAAAATATTAAGAATGTCTGCAAATATGGAATTATACTTCATGTTTATGTCAATGTATGCATCTGCATTTTTTTGTTTTTAATTTTACAGATCATCAAATTTATTGAAAAAATGTCATTCAAATGTAGCAAATTTTTTAAAATATTATTCAGAATATTTGGCTGCTGATGTCACCATAAAAAATATTGGCTGTGAAGCAACTCCTGCAATGTTTGATGAGTACAGAAACAGTTTAGATGGAATTTTATCAAATTTAGTGCTTTTACAAGCTGATAATTTAGATGATGGTTATTTTTTGTATTTACTTGGATTGGTATTTGTAAAGTTGGAAAAATATGATGAGGCAGTTGAAGTCCTTTTGGAGTCCATTCGCCTAAAGCCACTTAACTGGCATGCATGGATGCAGCTTGGTGATCTTATTGTTGATAGAGTTAAGGTAATAAGATTTAACAACATATGTTATAATGTATGAAACTTAATTGGTTTTTGAAAAATTTGAGATCGGGTAAATGTTTGTAACTAAAAAAAAAAAATTAATTATTGCATTTTGAAGTTCAAACTTTTAAGTTGTAGCAATTTGAAGTCGATCAATGTTTGACATTTTTTTTTTTTTTTTTTGAGGTCCCTTCACGATTTCTGCATTACATATTATGTATTTTTTTAGTGATGAATTTGTTTATTAGATGGCCAATATTGACAAGGCCATAAGCTAAATTTGATTCTGTTAGCCTCAGTAGCCACTATTTTTTGTTAGTCATTGGATGTGTTAAAAATACCAAAACTTAGCTTTTGGGTTTTAATTTGTGGTATAAAACATAATTTATATTGCAAGTCAATATGTACACAAATCAACAAACATATTATATAATTTATCCTTTAAAATCGAGTTAACCTAAATTCAATTTGGTTTTAAGCTTTTCATACAGATTTTGGTTTTACAGATAAAATAACAAATATTAAAGAGAGGGAGGAAGAATGGTAAATTTAATTAATTTGCATTGCAAGAACTAAATTACGCCTAAATATTTATACTCCTTCGAAGTCCATAACATTTTTGCCTAAAACACTAAAACAACTTTAAAAGTTTAGATTCACTTGTTGTTAATTTGAGAAATAATTAAAAATGAGCATTATTTATAATTTTAGTTATCCAAACTAGATTTGCCCAATCATTGGATGAAAAACTTTTTCTTTTGTCAAAAATATTTGGATTTACAGCTCAACGAACAGATGTTAGCTGTCTCACAATACTTAATTAATTGTGGTTTCATCAATAGCACTTTTCTCCTTTCTAGAGTTGCAGTTTGCTATCATAATAAGAGATGTTAGTAAATTTTCACATTGGTTAAATATTTTTTAGTGTTAACTTATACTTCTTATCAATAATTGTAGATGTTGAAACGGCTTTACAAAAATTTCATGAGTTAATTGAGGTTGAACCATACCGATTGGAAAACATGGATACATATTCTAATCTTTTATATGTCCAACATCAACGAGCTGAACTAGCATATCTTGCTCAGAGAGCTGTAAAAATAGATAAGTATCGTGTAGAAACTTGTTGTATACTCGGTAACTATTACAGTCTTAATTCAGAACATCAAAAAGCAATGCGTTATTTTCTACGTGCCCTTAAGCTGAACCCTCTGTGTTTAGCCGCTTGGACATTACTTGGCCAAGAATATATGGAACTAAAAAATTCAAATGATGCCATTCAGAGTTATAGTAAAGCTTTAGGTAAGTGTTTACTAATTTTTTATTTATAAATATTTTATCGGTTTTTAAATGTTTTATTTTATTATGTATTTATATTTTTAGAAATAAACAAATATGAATATAGAGCATGGTATGGCTTGGGCCAAACATACGAAATACTTGGTATGTTCAAGCACAGTCTTTATTACTTCAAACAGGCACAATTGTTGAGACCATTTGATAGCCGAATGATTATAGCGGTTGGCAGTGTGTACGAAAAACTCGGAAACATTGATATGGCATTGCAGAGTTATTTAAAAGGACGCGCAATTGGCGACGATGAGAAACTTGGACTTGTTTGTTTAGCCAAGTAAGAATTATATAAAGAAATATAGACATAACTATATTTTATTTAAATTATATTGCAAATGTTTTTTTAGACTGTATGTACATATTAAGAAACCAGATGAAGCGGCAAAAATGTTTTTGGAATATATAGATGAATATGCATTAGATGAACAGACCTGTGATCATAGTTGTGCTTATATGTTTCTTGCTAACTATTACCTAAGTCAAACCGATTACGAATCTGCCATTCATTACGCACAAAAATGTTTGAACTATGCTGATACTAAAGAAGAAGCTAAAGCTTTATTAAAAACTATTATGCACGAGAGAATAAATATGGATGTTGACCATACAATGTCTGTATCCATGTGTAATAAAAAGTCCAAAAATCTAGATTACGACAAAGAAATTCCAAGACAATTGCAAATGTTATCATTATCACAAAAAAAAGAAATTATTCTAGATGAGAATGAAGAAAAATATGAAGAGGAAGAAGAAGATGAAGAAGAATTTATATGTAATAGAGCTTCTTTATTTTAAGTAGGATAATTTCATATGTTAAATAACTAAGTAGAAAACAAAAATAATGTTTTGGATTTGAATATTATTTTATAAGACTATAATTATCTGTTAATCTGTAAATTTTAACTATTGTGAATAATTGTAATTGTTGAATGAACATGAAGATTTAAGATACCCTATTAACACTATTTGAAATATTTTGCTCAGTAGTTTTAATATTATTGTGTAGTATAAAGTAAAAATAGTGGTATACATTTTATGAGAACTACTAGGGTTAGTTTAACAATAAATAAGAATACAAATATTTTTATAAATAAATATATTTATAATTTTTAATGTTATACTTATAAAGTAGAATCATACAATATTGATTCTAAAAATATTCTCACCTGTTTTTATTATCCAAAAAGCTGCCTACAATAATACTGTATTTAATGTTTATACTTCTGTATTTTATATAAATGTAAATATATTTATACAAGATAAATACATCTTTATAACACTATTGGGCTTTTATACGATATATATTTAGGACTAATTGAACGTATTGTTTGACCATAACTTGTAATTGACAATAATTAAAAATATAATAATGACTATAAGAAACTAAATAACAATATAGGATTGAAAGAAAGATCAAACAAACAATAATAAAGTTTAACAATTTAAATAAGACTGATTTGTACCAGTTAATTTAGGCTCAATAATACTTATCTTAGGTGTTAAATCTATCACCTAATAACATAACTAAAAATCACAAAACAAATTAATACATTTTTTCAAAAATAGTAGGTACATGTGCAAATAAATAATATTTTACTATGCTCCATTGGCAAAGAAGCCAAAGTATTCAAATCACAAGCGATTTTCTAACATGTTATAGTGATATTCATTTTTGCTGTATGCAAATTAATGAAATATCAATTATTGGATTGGTTTACGTAAATGGATTACTACGTCTTTTCAACGAAGATCTTTTTATATCACATTCTGTAGGTCGAACTACTTCGAATGGTGAATAAACTGGAGCCTGAGATTCTTCTGCATCGCTACTTGAATAATCTTCAAAACTCATGTTACTAAATCCACTATTTGTAGACAGAGTAGAAACTATATTGTTAGTTACTACTTGAGAAACTTTTTTAGGGATTATCTTCATGTAAATAGAATCTTGTGGTTCCAAGTCTACTAATATAGCTTCTTTTGGTTCCAATCTGCCAGCAATTTCTCCTGGATTGTTATTTTGGAAGTATGCACTATCAGAAAAATCAGTTTGTTCAAACGGATTTGTTGTAGTTTTAAATGGTACAGAACCAAACAAGTCTGAATCACCATCAGGGCATTTTTTTTTTGCTTTGGGAAATGGTGCCTTCGCAAAAACATCAGTAGTGTTTCCTAAAATTTCAAATTCATCTCCTTCGTTATCAGAAATTAATGGTCTTTCAGCATCTAGGTTTTTAATGGGTATAGGATCTCTGAGCCTAGTGGCACCCGGGGCATTAGGAGGTGGGATATCGTCTCTAGCCATACTTTCACATTCTGCATGGTAAGCTGATGATCCACATGTTAACACACTGTCTTTTATCGTCATAGTTTCAGGAATGTTTTTATTAGTCTCTTCTTCATCATTACGAGTCTGTAGATCACTGGCAGATCCAATAGAATCGTCATCAGACTGGTCATACTCGTTCTGATGATTTTTATTTTTTTTGTCTTTGCGAAAACGACCAGGTGTCTTAAATTCTGGAATTTTTCTACGTTTTAAGGATTTCTTTCGGACTTCTCCATGCACTACTTGACTGTCATCTGAAGAAACATCATCTGTATTACAAGCTAACTTTTCATACTTGGAACGGTCTTCCAATGGAATTTTTACGAAAGGCGTTGAGGAACATTCATTTGATTCTAGTTCATCATCACTTCGGGTAGTTGTTACTAAACCAACAGCAACTTCATCAGTGTCTGGTTCATTATTTAATATTAACCTATCTAGTTTTAAGTTGTGTTCAATGAAATATGTTTTCCATTTCTCCGCATTTTTCTTAATTTCATTACCTAAAAATAAATTTAAAAAAAAAACACTAATAATATAAAATATAATATTGTAATTTATTTTCTATAAAGCTTAACATAAAGGTAAACAAACCATTTAGAACATAACAATATTTGTGATGTGATATACAAATTTAATGGTTATTTATATATATATGTATGTATATAGAGAGTATAAAAATAATTGTTAACTATACAATTATAGTGCTCTAGATTAAGGATAACACTCTGATTCAATCCAAATATCCATCAAGGTGAAAACCTATAAAGAATCAACCAGCCAGTGTACCATAATACCGAAGAATTATAGTTATGGATTAGTATAATTATTACACTATTAGTAAAAAGATAAATTAGGCTTGTAGTTAGCAGATAGCAATATTATAATAAAAACTTAAAGCAACACAGAATCAATAAATTATGAATATTGATCACTTACCATTTAAAGACAATTTTCTCACTGTACTATTTTCCAATTGATCACCTATATAAAAAAAATGTTTTGATATATGTAATAATTTTAAGAGAGTAACCTTTAAAATAGTATCTGAAAATAAATATTTGTACTTACTTTTATAAGGAAACGGAGCAGAACTAAAAGGATCTTCATTAATTTTATTCAACCTCAAAGTAGTTTCTGATGATTTACTTTCTAAAAGCACAAATAAAAACACACATAAATATATTATTTAACAAACAATTATTATTATGATCATTTAAATTTACCATCATCACTATTACAGTCTCGAGGAAAAGAAGAACTAAATATTTTTTCTTCAGGAACCACCTTTTTAAAATAAGATGTATCGGTTTCTTCAAATGGATTCCAAGATTTGTTTGTACTTACTTTATTAACAATCTCTATCTAAAATTTAAATTAAAAATCCCAATAAATAAACATACAACATGTAAAAAAATAATTAAAAAAATGTTTTTGTTTAATGTAAATAATTAGTAATATTCAGTGGTGACTTGTGCCTACGTACAATTGTGTTTGCACCCCTACCAAAAATAAGAAAATGTAAATAATAATTTACTATTACAAGTTTCGATAGAATTATAATTTAGTTAGCATGAATGTTATGTTATGTAGAATATTAATTACAAAACACTAAAGAGCACTGTGGCTGCTTCATGATGTTCAATGTGCAGTAGCCAAGCTCATTGTTCACAAGAAAAACATGTGTATAATTTGGTCGATGAGTGATTTGAGCTATAGTGGATAACTGATAAGCGACAATTGTAATATACCTGAAGGGCTTGGTAAGTTTAGGAGGCATGGTGTTAGACATTAGATCTATTTTACCATAGACCCCATAGAAAAGATGTTAAGCTTTATAATAAAAAAAAAACAAATTTTTGTAAATTGTTTAGTAGAATTCTAAGAAGTTACTTTGTGATTTAGATTTACCTTTTATTTTTACAAAATATAAGAGATGAAAACAATTTTTTTCTTTCTGTTGACCTCAATAGAAAACATTAATACTTACATTCGATTTTGAAAAATTTGAGGAGTCTTGAGAAGATTTTTCATATGATGACAAAAAATAATTATTTTCATTTACAAAATTTCTAGAAAAACAAAACATCATACAACTTATATCAGTATTCTTAATACATTTATTATTGATATTAGCAAAATTTGTATTACCAAAACGTAATTTAGTTTCAATCGTACCAATTAAAACTAGTAAAAAAAAAAAAAAGGAATACCAAATATTTTCTATTGTCTTTACTTTTTTAATGCAGACGTATCACTTATATTTCGTTTATGTTTGGATAATGATGTCAATGAAGGAGATGATGTAATAGTTGCATTTGTGGAATGTGTGATTGACGTCGCTTCCTTGCTAGTTTCAACAAAGGGATCAGCATAATCTAAAAAAATTATCAAAATTTACATACGTTCTTCAATAAATAAAATAAAAAATTGTACCTTTTACTGGGAATACTGTCTGGATTCCTATCTCACCAGGTAATGGATGTTGTGGTATTTTATTTTGATGTGACACATCTGGAGAATTAGAATTTGTAAACACTCCAACTGGAGCTTGAAATGTCCTTTTAAATGTAGGAGAAGATCCCAAAGGAGGTGGTATTCCCGAACTTAAAGGCTTTGGTCTTTGCCGAGGATTTACACTGGTGCCTTCAACAATAATAGGCGTTTGGTAATTTTGTTTAACAGACAATTTTGGTGTCTGAGGAACTCGTTTTTCATTTAGTGTAAAAACTAATTCTTCAATATTTGGAGTGGGAACATTCTGAAAAATGAATAATTAGTTAAATAATCGATAGGGTGCCCATTTAGAGCCTTGCTGCCTCTTCCACGGAGGTTTTCTAAATTTATATAATCGGGAATGGATAGTCTGTTGCCAGATTTCTCATCTAACAAACAGGGCCACTTTTTGCCAAGAGCCGAATAGATGAGAGTGAGCAATGCCTATCCACTCATTCTTCTTATAGGATAATAAAAAAATTATTGTAAAATATGATAAAATCATACGTTTAAATTTTGAATAGGACAATCCTTTCCAGCTAATTTAAAAGCAATGTATGATACTTGATAAATATCCGGTCGTTTATCTGGTTCCAATTCTAACATATACTCTATAACAATATTAAAATATAATAATTATATACAAGTATGTAGCCTAAAATATTATAAAATGGTAGACATTAAATATAACAACCAACGTAGAGCAATCAATATAGTAGACAATTTGCTTTTTATTTTGTCAAGTATTGAGTTACCTTCCAATATAACCTACCTTTTTTTTTTTTTTACTGTAAAAACTGTATAAAATAATTTTAAGTCTTATATAAATTAATTTTAAGATCCTAGTAATTGTAGAAATAAATAGTTATAAGCTGATATTTTAAAAAACTAGTTATTTTTTATGTAATTTTGTAACGTTGATGATCACGATGAGAATGATCATCATATGTTTATAACATGTTGTTTTTGTTAAAAAAAATATATATCACTAAAAAATTATAAATCGATGAGAGTAAATTAAAAAAATAAACTGAAGAATCTTTTGAAAACTAACACATTTAAAATATCCCAACGAAAAATAATATATATAGTTTCTAACAGTAGTTAATACAATAAATAACTGTTTTACACTGCCGGATACCAACAAGTTGGCTTTTTTCTAACGTATAACTTTTTTTTTACATATTTTTAAATAGTAAAACATAAAAATAGGAGTGTTAGATCTTACTGGACAAAAGAAAACGTTTGATATTTATCAGAATAAAAAAATGTGATCGTTTTCGCAAGATTTTATAAAGAAAAACATAATTTTTAACAATCTTTACCTCTCCATACAGACAAACAGACATTAAATATGGTTGTTTTGTTATAGGTCTATTAGGTTATATATTCATAAAATAATAATATAGATATTTATTATTATTTTTAGCTTTTTAAATCTTACTTATTAATGTTCGTAACTTGATTGAATATTCAGGTGTATCTGGTATATTAAACTGACCACTTTGAATTTTTAATGCACTTTCTCCAAATGGTAAAGTAAAATAACATAATTTGTACAACAAACAACCTAAAGCCCAAATATCTGACTTTGTGGTAATCACTTTGTTGCTGTATAAGTCTACCATTTCTGGCGATCTGTAGGAAATTGTAGTGTATTTATTAATTTCTTCTTCAACAGCATGTACTCCTTGAACCGCTGGATCAAGCTGTCGAGCTGTTGCTGAACCAAAGTCGCATAATAAATATTGACCATTTTCACTAATCAAAATATTTTCTATTTTTAAATCTCTATGTATTATTGGTGTTTGAGAATGATGTAAACGGCTAACTGCTTCACAAATATTGCAAAATATTTTAAGAATTTCATTTTCAGTAATGCCAGTTTGTAATCTAAAATAAAATTTAATTTCTATAAATATATATACAGCGCAAATAAAATAAAATGAATATATTTAATAAAAAAAACGCTATGCACATACAATGTTATTACTGAAAAAAATAGTAAACAAGAAATCAAGTTTAACAAATATTGTGTTATATAGTTTTATATTAATATATTTAGGGAACAATTGTTTCAAAACCATTTTCTTGAATATATTAAACTATTATTAATGATTCAATAAATTACCTGCTATTCATAAGAGTCAAAACATTAGATTGACAGTAAGGCATTAACATAAGAACTTCATGAACTCCATTTCCATGGCGTATTATGTTAGAATCAATAAATCCGACAATGTTTTTGTGGCCATTTAAATTACTCTACAAATTAAAACAAATAATATGATTTACACGACCTATTATTTCAAATAACACATTTTTTCTAATTAATAAATAATAATATAAAGTTACATAAAAAACACAAATTATCCGATTAGTAAAATTCAATAAAATCATATAATGAAACTATACTGTTCATACTATTAGGTAACTCAATGAATCAATTAAAAAATAATATTAACTATTGATATACTAGTTATCTCAACAAATGCATTGGTAAGAAAAAAAAAAAAAAATAAAATATTTCTTAAATATTATAGCTTTAGGTATCATACAAATAACACTACATTTAAAATATATTTTTGCTATCTAAGCATTTATATGTTGGTCGTAGTTCTAATAAGAAGAAATAATAAACTCACAGCTATTTGTATTTCTTTTTTAGCCACTCCTAGATCTATTTCATCATTAACAAACAAACGTTTCAATGCATACTTCTTGTTATTGTTTTTTACAAGAAAAACAACAGCAAAACCACCTATAATAAAATAAGGTAATATAAAACAATCATATTTAATGTAGATTTTACCTTCAGCAATTACATCCTCGACTATCACAGACATTCGACCAACTGTAAACTGTTTACCGACAAAACAGTTGGGGTCTTTGGAATTGTCAATTTTAGAAAATAGCTTTTTCATTTTTATTTGTTATAATCTAAAACACAAAAAAGTTATGATATCAATAAGTATAATTAAGGCTATTAACTTACATTAGTCTAGTAACATTAAAAATAACAATTGGTAGCTTTTAGAGAACTAGCAGAAAATAAGTACATTTTTGGTTCATTTTAGTATTGCGATAGTTAATTGTTAAAAATTTAACGACAGATCACAGAGGGTTGATTTCAGATACTTTTCATAACACTTATTGAAAAAAATGTCATCAATGAGTATTGAGGAGGTGCGAGTATAAGATAAGGAGGCCAAGTATTCAATACAAACAGCTGATTTATAAGTGCGTACCAAATGTATGTAATCAGGCGGGGTACTTTTTTTATCTTCTAAAAAGTAAAACTAAAATAATTTTGTTTTTAAAATATTAAAAAATATATTCATAATAATATAAATTATATTATAAATATGAAAATTAACAATATAATTATTATCACCATTTTGAAAGTATAATTTTAAGAGATAACAAGTAATGATTTTTAGGCGCCACTTGTATGATAACAGATGTTGCACTGCCCACTTAAGTCAGCTGCAGAGGGTTGGCAGATAATAGAATAGATTATTCCATAGTATTTTGTAGAGGGAGTATAAGGATATTATAATTCATAATATATCTAGTCTTAGGTATTATCTTTATACCTATATAAATATATACAAAAATTTGCGTTTGAGAACAGTTATATTATTAAATTGAAATTTGCATTTGTTACACCCATTGGCACATTCTGGCAGCTTGTAATTTTTGGTAAATAAGTTTATTTAATCGTACAAATAATGTTTGTAATAAATATTGATTACTTTGTTACATAGACAGAACTAAAATGGCGTATTCACTTTAGGAAAACTGCGGTTTTGGTTGTTAAAGTTTATATATATAGTCATTGTTCTATTATATTTTTTGTATAATTTGGTAAAATTCTTAAGTCTACACACATACTTAAGTTAATAATTTTAACAATAGGAATATTGGAATTCGCTGACACACCCTTTTAAATTGCATGGCATGAACCTTTACAATATTAAATTGTAATATGCACTTACTGCTTACAATTTTTTTATACTAAATTAAAATTTGTTGTACAATTAACTAGTCAATGTTGTATTTATAATACTTTTAAACATCTCTTATGACCTATGCTATTATATAACATATAATTAAGTGTTCCTATACTAAATAGGTAATTATATGTATAGATACTTGACTAGTACACGTTAACCCTAATGTAATATGCCTATTATTAAGTATATATTTAAATAGATATTTAATTACTAGTATAGCAGTAATAATTGACTTAATATAAACTCAAGATAAATTTAGCTAAGGAGGTCCATTTAAATTTATCTTTGTTATTTTTATGTTAGAAGGAGATAGAAATTAACACTAAATATATATATAAATATGCCCTGTCCCCTAAGAGAACATGCTGTGACTCAACGAAAATTGGTAGTTCTGTGTGGCACTTAATGTGACTAGTGTTCCTCCTAAAACTGCCCTGCATGTTTTCGGTGGCTGCTTGTGGTCTCCAGTCTGCATCCACAAAACCGGCAGGTTCTCTCAGTGGACAAGGTATATTTATGTATATGTGTTGTGATCAATTGAAATTGCTTACTAGAAAACCAGATTTACACCATTTAAGTTCTTATTGATTATTCTTGACTTCATAAAGTTAATAACTATGTAGGTTATCAATAAAAATTCAAAAGGTGATTGAATTTTGAACAAACAAAAAATGGGTTAAAACCTCAAATTTATGTAATTAAGTTAAATATAATAAGCTTAACTTTTTAAAAATGAAAATGTGTCGATTATTAAATTACAAATATTTTTACAACACAATAGTATTGTGTATTAAATAGTTCTTTTTTAGATATTTTTTTTTACTTAGATGTTATGGATCCTTGGGTAGTTACACTTCAAGAATGGTCACGTTTTTGTGAACATTTTCAAGCCTTGAAACCGATCGATGGCATGGTGACAGGGGAACAGGCCAAGGGGTTCCTTTTGCAGTCCAGATTACCACCAGCAGTACTTGGCGCAATATGGTAACTATATGCAATGTTTTAATTTTTTGCCTATTTTATACTAGTTTCCTTCCTTAGGTATGTGTACATATAAGATTATAGACTATAGTTGTATGTATTTTAGATTATTAAATAAAAAACTTATGTTGTATAATGTTATTCATTTTTAAAATTAAAATATATAGGGCCTTGGCTGATACTGATGCAGATGGCCGTATGAATATTGTTGAGTTTACTATTGCTTGTAAGTTAATCAGCCTTAAACTAAGAGGATTAGAATTACCTAATGTCTTGCCTAGTAATTTATGGAATTCCATTCAATCTTTCAGTAAGTCATGTTCATTATCTCATCATATAGTTTATAATTAGTATAAATATTAAATCTGTTTATTTTTTAGACACTGTTTCAAAGGTGTCATCTCCACTTCATTCTAATCCTCCTTCATTGGCTTCTGGTGTGACACCTCCTATGAGTTTACCTTTAACAACAGTATCACCTACAAATATTGTACCAAAAATTTCTCCTCCTATACCACCTTCAGTTGCTTCACCAGCAACTGTCATAATAAATTCCTCAGTTACACAGCCGGTTCCTGATCAACCAATCAAATCTACACCAGTTTCAACACCAACTATATTAAATAACGTTATTAGCCAAGTAACGCCTTTATCTAAGCCAGCAACTCCTGCTGCCCCGTCTCGTAAGTCTATAAAATCAACTAGATTTTAATTAAAACTATTTAAACATTTTATTTGTATTAATTATAAATAGTCACAGGAACTCCAGTCAATTCAATGCCAATGCCTTTGCCAATAGAATCTCCGTAAGTCAATGTTAACATTAATAATAACAAAATGTGTTTAATAAATTAGTGCAAGTTGGTTCTTTGCCCTCGTGGTACAATGTGTTCAGCATTCTTTGTGCTGCTATAATCAGTGTAGAATTAAATTGAAATTTGGTTAATCAACAGTTCTTATTTATAAAAATTGTTTATTTTCATGGTAGTCCCCTCTTTGGACATTTGCCTACCCATAGAGAGAGACCACCCGTAGTGGAGTGTCAAGTCAGACGTTGAGCACTAACACACTGTTCCTGCCACCTTACCCACTTGATCACATATTTTGGTCTTATATTTTAATAATTTAAGTTTCTGTGTATAAATTAGGTTTTTTATCCCCATATTATAACAATACAATTTTCGAAAATGTATGTATTTATGTAATTTATTATAATTAATACAATTATTATTTAGTTATTGATATTAACAAATTGAATTTTTTTTTTATTGAAGAGGGAATCAAGAATGGGCAATACCCCACCAATCTAAACTCAAGTACACACAATTATTTAACACAACTGATCGCATGAGATCAGGTTTTCTGACTGGCGTACAAGCACGGGGACTTATGATGGCTACCCAACTGCCGCAAAATGTTCTTGCCCAAATATGGTATAGTCTGTTAATTAAAATAGTATTAAAGTATTAATTGTATTATTTTTCTTATGTAGGAATTTGTCTGATATGGATAAAGATGGTCAATTATCTTGTGAGGAGTTTGTCTTGGCTATGTATTTGTGCGACTTGGCTAAATCTGGTGAAAAAATTCATATTCCTTTACCTCCGGAGCTTATACCTCCATCATTGAGAAGACAACGTCAAAGTAGTTTAACCGGTCCAAATGAAGGTACACCAGAATCTGATTCTATTCTCATAAATCAGACTACTTTTGAAGATAAGCGCAAAGAAAATTTTGAAAAAGGCCAGGCTGAATTAGAACGCCGTCGTAAAGCTTTATTAGAGATACAAAGAAAAGAGCAAGAAGAAAGAGAACGAAAAGAACGTGAGGAACAAGAGAGAAAAGAAAAAATACGATTAGAACAAGAAAAAAGAAGGCAAGAAGAATTAGAAATACAGATGCAACGACAAAGAGAGCTAGAGCAAGAAAGGGAAGAACAAAGAAAGAGAGCACAAGAACAAAGAGAAGCGGCTCGAAAGTAAGCAAATAAATATTATTTATTTATAAAAATATAAATATAAATATATAATATAAACTAAAATATTTGCATAAAACTAGTACTTATACTTTAAAATGAATTTTTTTTTTGCAATGACACATGCACTGATAAATAACAAAATTTCAATAAATATACAAAAACCAATTTACCAAGTTTAGTAATGATATATATTTTTTAAAATTGGGTACGCAGCTGAATATTCTGTGCCTTTTTAAATAGCCACACAAAAAAAAAAAATTGAACTGAGGGATTGGATTTTTCAAGTTATTTGTGCTATCTAAAATTATCAATTATTTTTATACATTTTTTACCTTACTAATAAAACAAATTGTTGGATAATGATTATTTAAATATAATAAATAGTTACTAATATAATTTATAATACATGTAGGGCCGGATCTACCTATAAGCAAAACAAGCATTGCTTACGGCTCTCGAAAAAATTTGGCCCATAAATCAGCTGACATTTAAAAATATATGTTAACTGATTATATAATAAGTATGAATGTATATTTACCTATAATTCAATAATTTCTTGGACTGATTAAACATTTTCAATTTGACATGATTATGTAATAAATATTACCATACGAATAAATAAATTTAAAAAAAAATGTAATAAATATTATTACATTTAAATATTTGTTAATGTTGCATAATTTTTCTTAAATAAAATTATGCAACATAATATTTTAATTTGTAGTTCACACCCTTCTCCCAACACTGGAAAAAGTCTTCAAGACTCATAATATATTTTATTGGTATTATATTTATTTGGTAATCAATTAGGCCCATCTGAATAATTTGCTTACAGCCCCTGAAGTAATTAATCCGGCTGTGAATGCTTGTTCATATTTGGAATATGTTTTCTTCTTCTTATTTTGTTTTTACGTACTTCCTTTGTATTAACTGATTTTCTCACTTCTCAATTTTTGGAAATTTTAACGCTTTAGTAATGTTAAGTGTTTGATTTCTTTGTGTGTAGAGAAATGGAAAGACAGCGCCAGTTGGAATGGGAAAAGCAAAAGTGCATGGAACTGCAACAGCAGAGACATAAAGAACAAGAAGCAGTTTTAAAACTTAAGGCAAAAAATCAAAGCTTAACCATTGACATACAGCAAATGGTATGATATAATACATTTTGTTATTAATTGACAAAATATTATTAGATATCATAATTCTAGACTGAAAAAGCCAAAGAACTATCTCAGAAAATTAGTGAAACTCGAGCTAGTGTGACGGGAGTAAAATCAACTATTGATAGCATGCGTTCAACACGTGATACACAAATGAATGAAATGTCTCGTTTAAAGTCAACACTAAAGGAACAAAACCAACGTTTAATTTCTGTTAGCCAAGAAAAAATACGATTAGAGACAAAAAATAAAATAAATTCTGGTGTTGAAACTGCAGAGTCCCAAGAGCAAGCACAATTAACAATTACTAACAAGCAATTAGCATTAAAAAATTTACAAGATAAAATCGGTGATCTTAATTCAAAGGTAAAATAATGTATTGGTTAATAGATTTTTGTAAAATTAATTTTTTTGTTTTATTCATAGATTGAGTTAAAGAAGCAAGATGTTGAAAATAACAATGACACACTTGATCAGTTAAAGGCTCAGTTAACAAAACTTATCGAGGACTGTGAACAAATTTATCCTAACTATATTGAGCATACTCAAAAAGTTGTTGCAATGAAGAAAACAAAAGCGAAAGACATGTCATCATGGGGTGATGATGCATGGAATGCAGCACCAACTACAGAGTGGCCTGTAGATTCCTCGGCATCTAATTTAGGTACTGTTTTTATTTATTTATAATGTTATATATAAATAATATATAGTGAAGAATTATTAAAAACAAAATTAGCCCAAAAACTATTTAATGCTTGTTTATATACATAAGTATATTATATCATTTACCTGATGGTGTTAATAGTCTAAATTGTAAAAGCATACTAGCCTATTTAAATTTAGTGTCTTGAGTAAAATTTCTCTTAAAAACCATAAAAAAGTTTCGCTAAGTAAAAAATGTTGTTTTATTATTATTATAAAGTATAAATTTCTATGTATATTTGTAGAATCCAGTGCCTATAAAAAGTGCCGGGCTCTGTATGAATTTGAAGCTCGTAATGCTGATGAATTGTCATTTCAACCTGGTGACATTATTATGGTTCCACTTGAACAAAATGCAGAGCCTGGATGGCTGGCAGGAGAGTTAAAAAATAAGACTGGATGGTTTCCTGAATCATACGTAGAGACAGTTGATGGTACAGATGATATACGTAATATAATAGCTAATCGACAAGCTCCCTTAGAAGACAATTTAGTAACTACTCAAAAACCATTAGAGTAAGTTGAATTTTTATAAAATTAAACTAGGGTCATTTGTATATTTTTATGACAATTGGTGGTTTTTGCATATTTCATTTTATAGTGAAATTTGTGAACTTCCGGAAAATGATTTCGGAGAGAATTACGAAACCAACTTCTCATATCCACCTACTAAACTCGTTATTGGGCAAGGTACAGCAGTAAAAATCACTGCTCAAGTATTAAGTGATTGGACAGGAACAGATAGTTCCTATGTATCCTTAAAAGCTGGTGATACAATTGAAGTATCTGAAAATCAAGTACGTATTGTTATTGATTTTAAAATATACCTACTTATTATTAATAATGTGCTCATAAATGACAACTAGCTTCACGCTGTCAATATAGGTGTTTCTCATCATAAATGAACAGTTGTTGACATTTAAACTATGATGAGGTCCCCTTTTCATCTCTATAAATTAACAGTACTTTATCTTAAAAGTATTGGCTACTAATTTGATAAGTTTTACTTATTTTAGGGTGATTGGTGGTATGGCAAAACCTCAGATAACAGTTCTGGTTGGTTTAATAAAAATTTGGTCAAAGTAATTGAAAATCTAGTCAATGATACTAATATTCCAACTCACAAACAAGGTTTTTTTTTTATTATTTATTTTTCTATAATACCTATTTGGAATTACTAATTTATTTTGCATTTCATATTTTAGAGTATTATACTGTTATATATCCTTACGAGTCAGTTGAGCCAGGTGATTTGAACCTGTACCAAGATGAGGTGGTGTTAGTCACAAAAAAAGATGGTGATTGGTGGACAGGAACAATTGGTGACAGATCTGGAGTATTTCCTTCAAATTATGTGCAACTTCTTGAGCCGCAAGTAAGTAATTTTTAAAAAATATTTTAAACAATTTATAGTATACAAGTTATTTTATGAATTAACTATACACATTTTAGCCTCAGGGACCTTTAGTCAAGAATCCTCCATTAGAAACTGCTACTTCTGTAAAATCAGAAACATCTGTTACTTCCTCTCCGTTGACCACGCCTATACAGTTGGAATCTCAGAAAATAGGAGGCAGTCGATCTATTACCCCAGATTTAGCATCAACTAAGGTATATTAAATGTATAGATACAACATGAATAAAATAATATTTTTTTTGTTTTAAAATTTAATTTCTTTATATTTACTTTTTTAAATTTTAAATTTAAACAAACATAGTTAAAAAAAACTAATTAAAAATAAAGACATTCCGATGCTTTAATTTGATGTTGATAGCTTAAGTTTTCTTATTAATAATACACCTCAACTTCGAAGGTCATTGGCATAATATTTTAATCAAATAAATTACAATTTTTACAATTAGTAAAATTAGTGCAATCAGTTTATTAAGAAGTTTACAAGTATTAATAATATTTTGTTGTATAGTTTGAATTTCAACATAAAATTGATAATTTTTATTTCTGTATCTTATTGTAGTATAATGCTTGTTGGATGAGTTAGGTGTACCAATTTTTTCCCTGATGTGGCTGATCTTTGCATTCTGTTATTAATGCCAATCAAATTTAAAACCAATTGTATTTTTATATAATGCTACTAAAAAGTGTGAGGTTGTAATTTTTAAAACATTTACTTCATTTAGTAATTTGATTTTATATGATTTTGATGGTTTAAACGCTATGTGACCAAACAGACATTTTATCTTAGTCTTCAAATGAACAAAAAAACGTTACTCTATATTTTTGTTTGTTAAGGGGAACGGAAAGCGTCAAAATTTTTACAAATAAAGACTAAAACGCGGAGTCACTTTCCAAAGTGTATACCGAACCAATTTCAATACTTTTTTGTTTGTTTTATAGTTTATCATCTCTATAGAGGCTAAACGGCCGATTTTTTATTTTTGTTTTCAAAAAATATTTATAAGCATTTTTATTTTTACTTTTTTATAGTTTTTCTAATACATCTAACTACTTTTTAGTCGCTAAATCAAAAATCGGCCTTTTAGCCCCCATAGAAAAAATAGTAAGCTTCGCATAAAAAAAAAAACTTGAAATCCGTCCAATAGATATGCCAGAAAATGACTTCTACGAAAGTAATTTTTTATCAAACTTCCGTCATAATTCGGAGAAAAATTTCTTTATAAGTATTATAATCAGAAAATTGTAATATGTGTTTACATTGAAATTAGTAGGCATAAGAAAAATGGCTATTAGATCAATTTTTGTCAAATATTGCCTTTCTTTTGCCCCTAAATAAATAGCGCTTTCCGTTCCCCTTAAACATAATAATTTAAGTGTAGTCAATTAAAATTTTATCTACTATTGTAAAATTATATAAATAAAATTTGGCTTTGACATCAAAAAGCCTTATAACTATTAATTTAATGCCCTGTTTAAAATCAAACTATCAAATTATACATATATTAATTCAAATTTCAAAATTGTTTTGTTTAAATTAAATTTATACTTTTTTTAATCTATGTCTTTTACAAAATATGTTGTTTAACTTTTGAATATTGATAATATATGTTTTATTAACTTTTTAAATTAATAGCATGTAGTGTACATTTTATACATATAGAAGTCAGGGTTAATACCACTACATTCCTCCCCGTCTGTACTTATAAATCATAATAACTCTGAGAATAATTGTTCAATAGACAACCAGTCATAATTTCTTTAGACAATACTTAGTTATTTGTATTTAACTACTTAACACCATGTTATTATTGTTTTTTTTTAAATGTTTTTAATGCCTTTGTATAATTTTAGAAAGAAGGCAGTGCGGCTGAAGATAGTGAAAATGATGACAAGGTAAAACATTTTTTCTAAATTTTCTTGATATTAAAATAGTTTTGAAAAATGTAATTCACAAACACATGCTTAAAATAAACAGGTTACAAGAGGTTCAAAAAAAGCAGAAGTGGCAACTGTAATTGCTGCTTACACTGCCACAAGTGCTGAACAACTAAGTTTACAACGTGGACAGCTAGTGAAAATTAGAAAAAAAACAACAACAGGATGGTGGGAAGGAGAGTTACAGGTAAAAAATCTTAAACTATTCAGAGTTAATAATCATTTAATGTTACTACAAATTACACAAATAATAATAACGTCTTACTTTTATCTTCTAAATGTTTTACAATTTTTTTTTTTTAGGCAAAAGGACAAAAACGACAAATTGGATGGTTCCCGGCATCATATGTTAAGCCATTGGGAAATACTGGTAGAGCCCATTCACCAGCTAAAAAAAATAGTTCTTCAACTGTGCCTGTAACAGCAGCTATTCCTTCTACTAATGCAAAAGGTACATAATATTAATATTTTTTCTTATAAAGTATATTAAAAATATAAAATATACATTTATATTTCAGAAAAAGTCATTGCACTTTTTCCATTTAATGCAGTACATAATGATGAACTATCTTTTCAAAAAGATGAGATAATAACTATTGTGTCAAAAGATGAACAAGCCTGGTGGAGAGGAGAAATAAATGGCAAAACTGGCTTATTTCCCAGTAATTACGTAGCACCTCTATGTAAGTATATTGCTTTTTATTTCATTTTTAAATTATTCATGTTAAAATATGAACATACTTAAATTAGTAAAAAATGAACATTTCAAATATTGTATTCTCTAAAAATGAAAAAATTTTAAATGACATTTATATAGTTATAAGGTTAGTAATAATATAATCAAGTTTTGATATCCCTTGATTTACATGTTTGAAGTAAGATAAATAATAGATATAACTATTTATTTACTGTGTTGTTTACAAACTTGCAATAATGAACTCTTCTAATTAGTTATTACATTATAACATTAAAATTATATAGGTATAGGAATTTTAAAATAGAAATACGGCATTAATGTATATATTTATGTTATGTTAAGTTTCTATTTTTATATCAACATCTTCTATATTCTGTCTCTTTTTTTTCTTTTTTTTATTGTAGGAGTTTGTACACATTTGTTCACTGGCTAGCAATTCATCAGACGACTGAACATCAAGATGCTAGTTTGAGTACTTCAACGTACACTATTTATTTATTTTATCTCAAAAGTAGTTAAATAATTTAAGTTTTTCATTGTAAAACATACTTATAATACACAATATCTTATCTTTATTAACATTTATTTTATATAATTTAGCGTTAAACATTTTTATATTGTTTTTTTATTATTATTAGGTTTGATTTAATTTTGCCTAATTTATATGTTTAGAATTTTACTTGAGTGCAATATTTTCTCTCCAATTTACTATAAAACATATTTATATTTTTTTTTTGGATAAATATCGTTATAATAATTTTATAATTTTAATAGTTTAGTTACGATTAATTATTAGTTCTATTTTTGAAAACTAAATATGCTACATTAGAGTTCTCTAAAGCCTAATCATAATTTAACAATAACAATAGTAAACAATTGTTTCTATTTGTTATGTATTATTATAATTAAACTTAAAGTAATTTTACTTAAGGTCTTTCTTTAATTAGTAAATGGTATATTAAAATTGTTTTTTTTGGATTCATTTATTTTTTTGAGTATTTTATTTAACTACTGCTAATTCATTTTCACATAACATGAAAAATTTTTTTTTTTAAATTTGCAAAATTTATTGTGTGTAATGTAACTAGTTTTATGATATAAGAATTCACAAAATCAAATGAATAACCTAATTTGTTATTAAGCGAAATTAATTATGAATTTTGTTTTAGAAAGATCTTGTGTAAAAGTGTAGGATACAACTAAGTTGGCGTTTAAACCGGTTATACAGCTTGATCCGCCTACCATTACCCTACTCTTGTTTAGTAGTTATTTATAATAATTAATTAATAGTGAGATGAAAAATGGCAACTTCTATGATAAATTATTACAATATCCACTGCTTTAAAACTTTCCCAAAGAAAAAAACTTAAGAAATTACCACGCTTTATATATTATTAAATATAAATTTTAATTTTTTACTAGAAGTGTATTATTATATTATCTGTCTGTAATAACATTTAGAGGAGTTCATTATAGTTTTGCTTTATAAGCTGCTTAAGTATACAATTTAATGCACACATTAATCATGCAATATTTATTATAGAAAATGTGTTCTTCAAAAATATACTGAGTTTAAAATAAAATAAAAAAATAAAAACACTTCTTATATCTTGTGTATTTTTATATTTTATGAAATTATAATTAGCTATTATTTTAAATGGTTAATTCATCAAAAATTATAATACATTTTTAAATAACCAAAAGGCTTTCTTGCATTCTTCTTTTGCATAAAGAAAAGAATAGAATTCTTCAATGTTAGGTAAATGGAAAAAATGTGTATCAAATACCTTGTCAAAATAATTGACCACTCTATGAGATACTCTAGTAGGTAGTAAAACTACTGATTATTGTAAAAGATATTTAATTAAACCAATTTGTTTCCTTAAGTATTAGTCATTAGTGTATAGGCAAATTATATATCTATTTAAAATAATTAATTAATTCCTAGTAAAATTGTAAAATATTACTTTGGTTAAAATACTTCAACAAGGCCTTATAAATTGTTTGTGTTGTATGAATATAGCTGAAGTAACAATTCAGGTGACTTTAAATAAAGAAGAACGGAAACGACAACAACATATATTAGAGTTGATTAACACTGAACAAGCTTACATTGAAGATATGATTTCTGTCCACGAGGTATGTATATTTTAAATTAAAAAAAAAAAACATTTGTTTGGAACGTTAACATATATTTTTATTTTGTATGTATAAAACAAAAATAATATTCATGTATATTTTGTTATACTGTCTATAATGTATAATTATTATTAATAATAGATAAATATTATTTAATAAGAGCAGCAAAGCGCGCTGTTTGGACAACTATTTTAAAAGTTATAAGAGTTTAAAAGTTAGGATGGGATCCTCTCCCGTCCTATCCTTACAATTTTAGTGCAGTTGGGAAATCCGCACAGATAAAAATAATACTACACTCCATCTTTCCTTCTACCCTAATCTTGAAACTTCAATAACTTCTAAAATAATTATCCGAAACTGGTTATCGACCAGTCAACATTTTAGTACATTATTCTCAATTTAAAAAGGTCATAAAATATGTACGTTACCATACAAAACTCAAAAGTTGGGAAGGGGGAAAACCAAAAAGTCGTGAAAAATTGAGATTTTTATACACATTGTATAAAAATAATATGAGAAAAAACATTAAAAATTTTTATTACACCTATAACATGTTGAGTGGCCCATGATAAAAAAAATCACCCTGTATAATATAATCATAGTTAAAAATATAAAAATATATGTATTTGTGGTTGATGAACATGAATAAAGGATATGTTGGTTGAGTAATACGTGCAGAATAAAATAGTATAAAACAAATAGTACTACTCACCACTCTCCCCCCATTTTATACTTTAAATTTAAATAACTTTAAGAATAATTCTCCTAAAACTGGTTATCGATCGGTCAAAATTGTTAGCAAATTTTTCTTAACTATAAAGTTAATAAAATATACAGGGTGATCCATTTGATTTAAGACAATCTTTTTCTCAGAAATTGTTTTTGAAAATTATTTTTTTCCTATACTTGTAGGTTCATATTTTACTATAACCTTCAATACTTTGAACATTTTTACCTTCATCTCTTATACGTAAAACAAGTATGAACCTCATTTTTTCAAGAAAAAACATGTTTTTAATTCCATAAATATGTAGATATAATATTAAAAGTGTTTGAATTTTGATCAATTTTTTCGTTTGACTTAGCAAATATATTACATTTTACTTTATAATTGATATTTACTTAGGTTTTTTAAAATTTGGTTGTTCGCATTGCCCAAAAGACGAAAACACCGATAACAAGACACAAAGAAATGTTTTGAGTTAATGATAGGCAAGCGGTTCTTAATTACTTATTCAAACACTGTCACAGACGACAATTTTATCGATGGATGTCAATATTATTATTTAATGGGGATGCTACTGTTGTGAAAACCGAATGAATACCGATCTTAAATTAAAATCTTTACAAAGTCATACCAAACGAACAGGTTTATGAAAATTCAAAATTCAAACGCTTAAATTTTTTAAAAGTTTTTGTTCCTATACTTATAGAATTAAAAACTTATGTCTTAAAAAACCAAGTACATACTTCTTTCAAGTAAAAGAGATGAAGGTAAAAATGTTTGAATATTATAGAAAAATATTTACTTACATGTATAGAAAAAAAATTGCGTTTCCATTTAAGTTTCAAAAGTTAATATAAAAATAACTAATTTGGGAGGGGGTTAAAAACAATAAATTTTGTGAAAATTGAGATTACGTTGTATGATTAAACCCTGTATAATATTGATTGGATCATTTAAAAAACAAATCACCTTGTTCATATATATATATATATATTTTTTTTTAAAGACATCGTAAAAATATGCTTAAAATATGTTTTAACAAAATAAAAATCAGTTTCTTAATATTGATTTAAGGTTTTTGAAAAACCACTGTATGAAAGCAAAGTTCTTACCACTACCGAAATTCGACAAATTTTTATCAACTGGGAAGAAATTATCGAATGCAATCAAATGTTTTTGACGTAAGTTACCTAAATGATAAATGAAAGTATGAAAATATTTTCTCAGCTTCATATTAAAGCTAAAATACTTGTTGGTATTTAGTTTTGATAAAACCCCGATGAATTATTGGACTTGCTATGTTAATATTATAATACTACCGTTGTTTTTATTTAAATTTATTATTTAGTTTTTGTTTTATTTTTCTACACAAATATGCAATAAAACACAAATAAACGCTTTAAAGTTTAGAAATAATGCCAACTTTTTATTTCACACATATAAGGAATGAAATTTAACCAAAAATTAAAATAAAGTGCCCTTATTCAGATAGCATTTTTTTAAAAAATATGTTTCCAATCCTGATCGATGTTTTGGTCTCTCCTGCGATTTGAATTCGCGCGACAGGAGGTTCTTTTTTCCTTTTCGCCTCACATATATTTACTGGTACTCCTAAAACGGCATATTATACATACTATGTTATTAATTGTCAGAGGTACGCGCTGAGGTGAACATTAATAAATAATAATGCAAACATACATAATAATATATTAGTAGCTACTCGCCTTTTCACAAAAGTACCCTCACGGGGAATAATTATTGCGGGCAGAAACCTAGGTTATTTACCAATCTCTTTGATAAAACGATGTATTAAAATTAATAAATTAACTGTTTGTTTAGATCTTTAAGGGTACGCAGAGATATGAGTCCCGCAGGAGTTATACGAATAGTTGGCGATATTTTGTGCGAACACGTAAGATTTATTTCCATTTTTTGCATTTAATGTATCAGCAATTTAAGAGGGCGTCGCACCGCCCATTTTTAAGGAGTAAATTATAGGCAATTTTTACAAAATATTAATTTAAAGGTTAAACTGTGATGTGTAATTATTAGTTGAATAACTAGGACTCTATTTTGGTAGTTAATTTATTTTTTGGACTATCACAGCATCCTTGAAAGTAATTTAAAAATGTTTTTCATCTCTACATGTTTAAGCACACTGAAAATAACTCACTTAATTTTGGTTTTAGAGTAAAAGCACCCATTATAAAATTAAAAGAAAACAATATTTCGGAAGACAAGACAGTGCGTTTTTTTCATTATTCCAAGTTTAACGCTCAATACATAGTTTAGAAATAACGACTATTTTAACATTTTTAAATGACTGTAACTTTTCAAAAAATTATTTTTTTATGGCATCGTCTTGCCCTCCGGAATATTGTTTTCTATTAACTTTATAATGGGTGCTTTTACTCTAAAACCAAAATAAGCGAGTTATTTTCAGTCTGCTTAAACATTTTTACCACTGAAAATCACCGGTGCGACGCCCTCTTAATGTAAACCAACTTTACTGGACCTCTTTTTTTGTCTTATTTTTTGGTTAACGAATGTAAAAAATAAAATCTTTAATTTATCAAGAGGAAAAAAATGATTAAAATGAATACTGAATAAATACGATTTTAACGAAAAAATGGGGAAAATGTGTATAGTAGAGTAGAATTATTCTAACAGTAATAATATTGAAAAATTATTAATGAATTTTAGTTTCCGAGAATGACACGATATGTGCGATTCTGCAGCTGTCAATTGAATGCGGCCATTACTTTACAAAAACTTACAGAAACTAATCCGGCTTTTCGCGAAGTTACTAAACTTTGTCAAAGTGATTGTCGAACTAAGGGATTACCATTGAGCTCCTTCCTCATAAAACCTATGCAGAGAATCACTAAATATCCCTTACTTGTACAAAAAGTAAGAAATATGACTTACATTACCGATCTTAAAAATACAGCTATATATTGTTATTGTGCTGTAGGTATGCAATTGTATTTTTCTGGGTAAATAATCAGAGTAGGAAATTAGCCTCACGGCTCACATGTATGATGTAATTTGTAGCCAAACGATTGTCTAGGACTAAAAAAAATAGGATTAGAAATACTCTGTTGCAATTACGATAACATTTGCAGATTATTTTATATACATCCGCATTTCGTTGCAATATGTAATGTTTTTAACCAATATCAGTCTATGATCGAGACGAATAAACCGGGTTAATTACCTACCTTAGCTTTTTTGTATTTTAAATGTTATCTTAATCTGTTGAACTCCCATTATGATTTTTAAAAGATTTTAGAAAACACTCCGGATTCTCACCCAGATCGTTTACATTTAAACGAGGCATTGGCTAAGGCAGAAGAAATATGCCTTCAAGTAAATTGATAAGATATTCATTTGATTATTTTAAACAACAGTCTTTATAACTTTGAATCTGAATTTCAGGTAAATGAAGGTGTACGAGAAAAAGAAAATTCAGATAGACTGGAATGGTTGCAAACGCACGTGAATAGTGAAGGATTAACTGAACAACTGATTTTTAATTCGTTAACAAATTCTTTGGGATCAAGAAAGTTCTTACACTACGGTAGTTTATCTAAGACTAAGAGCGGTAAAGAATTAGTAGGTTTCTTAATGAACGATATGGTGCTTTTGGTCAAACCTGTAAAACCGACAACTTTAAGTGGACAATCATTCACATTTGATAAGTTTTCCGGACATACGTTCAAAATTTACAAACAAGTAAGCTATTTAATTTTATACTAATTTCTTATAAATTATAAAATAATGTAGAAATTGTTTACATTTTCAGCCATTTTTACTATCGAAATTAAACATTATTGAATCAATGAACGATTGTGCTGAATTCCGTCTGGAGTATGATAATACGCCTATATTACTGACCGTTCAAACGTCTAGTGAACGTAACTTATGGATGAAAAAATTAAACGAAGCAAAACGCATTTTAATTGCCAGTGAAAGTAATCAAAAACAGTTAATAGAGTCAAGTAAGTAAAAAACAAATGTTTTATATATATTATATAAAGCACTATTTACTGAAAGGGGACATTTCCATAAAATCAAATTTTACATTAGGTACAGAACACTGTCTAGGCAAGCCTTAAAATAGAAGTTGGTTGTAAAAATGAATAAATGGTTACTATTCATGGTGATTAATCTATTATTCATTTTTTTAAAATAAAATCTCAATATTTAAAAAAAAAATAATTTGAGCATGCCATGTCCCCTTTCAGTACTTAGCTTTTAGTTACATTTAAAACATAGATTGTAATAAAAATATGTTTTTAATTAAAGTTCAATAAATTATTTTAAGACAGTATCTAGAACTTATATAGGTATTTAATTTTTTAACATGTATTATAATTTATAATAAAATATTGGTTTTGAACACTAAACCATAGAGTGCAGAAAGAGGACATGTGCGATTCCTATGCTCGCGGCTGTAGCCGCGTGGCTGCTCGGCGCGACTCTAATTTCAGCCGCGCCGGACTGCTTAACATGTTATTAAGTATGACCATTGAGTCCGAGAGCGGTCTTTATAAACAATTAATTAGAATAATATTTAATTTAATATTAATTGAAATAGTATATTACCATATCGCCGCCCCGGTAGAACAATGACACAACTGCAAAATTTGGTAAAATGGACTAAATGCTTCAACGTGTTTAGATATAGCGAACAAAATAATGTAGACCTATTTAGTGGACTTGTATTGTAATAATTTCCCAAGCCCCAATTTCATAATTAATTGTGCATTCATGAATTATTAACATTTTAGTGAAAATAATTTTGTTTTTTGGTTCTCCTGTAAAATTTCAATTATTGCAGTTGTGTGTGTCATTGTTCTATCGGGGCGGCGATATAACTATTTATGTAATATAAATATGGCTGATTTAGAGTCCTTATATAGGGATGAAAGACATCTAATTTGAAACCCACAAAATATAACGACGACCAACAACAAAACGAGAACTAATTTTAATTACGATACCAGCTATGATTATAGTACGAGTTCTCAAATTTACCTTAACGTTACCACCAATTTTTTAGCTGGGCAAATTGGTTTCTTAATTTTATTTGTTGGATTACAAGTTATATCGGTTTTTTTTAAGGGGCCCCTACACCTGCGTATTTTTGGTCAAAAACAACAATTCTACAATTCTAGTTCAAGCGTACTGTTCCTAAGAATACTTCGATTTAAGTTTTGAAAAAATATTTGAGTTCTTCATTATTGAAATAATTAATTAACTGAAAATCATTTTAAAACTATGCCACGACCGATGCCTTGAAAATGTTGGGAAGAATTCAAATGTTTTTTAAAAATTTAATTCGATGTATTCATAAGGACAGTACGTTTGAAGTAGTATGTGGTTTGTAAAAAAATAGATCCTATATGCGTTATAAAAGTTGAAAAAAAAATGATCAAAATAGATACTTCTTTCTTATGGTAATATGTATGTTTAAAAATGTTAGCTTAATATTAAGTTTTATCGAAAAGTTTCCTATACAATGCGCCTTGATAAATGCTAGCGTAGAGGCCCCTTAAGTTTAACACATAGTTAAACTCTCGAAACTTCGTTTGGTTTTTCCATAAGTGTTTCTCAATTAGCATATTATCAAATCCCTCATTTTTCCTGGCTTGGAACATACTGTGTTTTTTTAAAAAAATTTTACATAAGTGATGCAGAACAGCTTGCTTCTCGTCAATTACTGTAAAAATATTATAGATAGTAACATTTTATGGTGGCGTGACACCGACATTTAAAAAATATACACTATTAAACTTAATTATCACACTACGACTTTAAAGTGAATACTGTCGGATCACTCATCCATAGGAATTCGTTCTAGGCCGTGCGGCTGAAAAAAAACGATTGCGCCGCGGGCATAGGAATCGCACCTTTACTGCACAACACTTACTTCAACGGCTCATATTTCCATAACAATTGATGGACGTGGACTAGTCCAGTTAGTATATAAAACATATATTTAAGGTAGATAAATAGATAACCTGTAGTAACTAAATTTCGTCAAAAATTGGAACATGTTTCCTTTTAGCTTTTATTGCAACTAGTATATATCCAATTATTTTATATTTTAGTAAGTTGTGCATATTTTAATTTGTAGAAAAAGCAGATTTTGGAGCTTGTGGTCGTGTTCTTGTTTTTATAATGGACGGCAAGAAACTCCAAACCCCAAAAAAGGGTAAAGGCTAATAATATTTTCTGACTAATTTAAGTATATTATATTATTAACACTAGTAATAATTTATCGCTTTTCATTGGTTAAATGTGGTACAGGAAAACGAGCAGTATTCTGTGAAGTTAGCATGGGATCGCGTAAACAGTGTACACCAACAAATGAATCTACTGATCCAAAATGGGATACTTCAATGCAATTTCTTGTTAAAAATATTCAAGATGATATTCTATGTATTACTGTTTTTAACAAAGGTTATTATTCTCCTGATGGTATGTATTTTGTTTTGCATAAGGATAACTTACTACAGTTGTGCATTAATGCTAATTATTAAGTAACAAAAATGCTCAAGTCCTAATACATACATCTACAAATTTGTGGTCTTTAGGTAATAACCGCAGTTGTGTAGAGATCTGTAGCTCAGGTACTAATCGTGTCATCAGTAACATATTTATTAGAAAAGTAGGGTTATTTATTAGGAGGGGTCGATGTAGAAAACATCCTCTTCTTAAATATATGTTTTTAAAAATCAATTAAGTTGCATGAAAAAATGTAATTTAAAACCTTTAAGTTTCCACACGTATTGTTTAGTTATAATTTATAAAACATAAAGTTGTGAATTTCTTATTATAAGGACTATAGATTGATGTAAAAACTTATAAACAATAATTAACAATAATAAGTAATTATTACTTATTAGCTTATACTCAAACATTGATGAGGATCAGCTGATAAGAAAAACAAAAAGAAGGAAGAGAGGGGGAATGTTCATATCAGAAGCATAATTGTTGTTAATAAAGAAAAAATGGGAGCAGCTAGACATAAGTTGACTCGTGTTTAATTGGGCTTGTCACCATAGGTCACAAATTTGTTGAGGGTGTAGTTTGTAGTTAAATTATCTAAAAGGGGGTAGGAGGTCTTCACTATTGTTGTGCTACATGTGTGAGGTTTCTTACTGGATGGACAAAAATATTTCGCCTTTCGGAATTTAATGATTTTGATGAACCCATTCATTACAAAACTATTCGTATCCAAATTATTCAAATATCAATTATATTATACTAAACCTTGTTCTTAACATAATCAGTCAAAAGTTTTCATGTTACTCACAAAAAGTGAATTTTTTTTGACCAGTGTAATTATTATGTCTCTCTTCACGCACTAATACCGTTACGAGAAAACGGGCCAAATTAGTAGGTAGTACTAAACATTATAAAAATTATAAGTGCAAGTTAATAAAAACATATTTTATTTTCTAACCACAATTAAACCATGTTAACACGAGTATTATTATAATTTATAAACCCCAAATTATTTAACATATGATTTTTAGGTTAAATAATAGGGTTTATATTTTAAATATGCTATTTAAAAAATTAAAAAATTTTCAAAATCCTGAAAATGTAGATTTTGCTCAACTCTGTATGACATGAATAATTTACAACAGTTTTAGTCTACGGGCCTGTTCGAAGTAAAATTTTAATACACCTTAAGGCATTGCGCCGTTTATAATGCAAAGGAAGGGAGGGAAGAGTAGAAGACAATTTGCCGCGTTAACTTAAGTAACGCTTTTTGTGGGATTACATAGAAAAATGTAAAGAGTTATCAAGCCAGCTCAAAAATTGTAATAAATTATTCTGCCTTTTTTAGCGCCTAGCGGTTCTTGTACTTAGAAAAACCCTAAATTTAGTACCACGTGCTATTATAGCCTCGTAGAATGTTGATTTCTACCTATTACGAGTATAAGAGGGTTAAGGAATTATTATAATTTAAAAATAATTATTAAGTTTTATAAAAAAATAAACAATATGACGTACGAATGTTTGTGTTTAGAATTTTTAGGTAGATCTGAAATTCGTGTAATGGATATAATACAAGCTACAAAAAATAACAAAGGACCTCTGACTAAACATCTTCAACTAAGAGAAGTACAGACTGGTGTAATAACTTTAAAATTAGATTTATGCTTATTTGACAAGAATAATTAAATTCCTATCGTATGTAACCAATATAACATTTATACAATTTTTATAACTTATTGATTTAGATGTTTTTTAATATTACTGTTTAAATAGTGTATTCGTGTTAGTAAGTACCGATAGTTTATTTATTATAAGATATTTAGCTAATGCGCTGTAATCTAACTTAAATTTTAATATTATATTATACGTTTAATGCAATAAAATTATATCCGTATTTATATAATACCTTCTTCAATTATATTAAAGAAATGGCTTATGATTAATAGAATGATTATCCTACTGACCTACCGCGGTTGTTAACATTATAACTGTACCAATTTTTTTATTGAAAAAATTAATGTAATTAAGATGTAATTATACATTACATTAGAGTGGTTGTGTCTGTTAATGTTGAAGGTATATACTGTGCATAATGTATATAATTGAAGACTACAGTTCGTTTCTTCTTATTCTACATTTATAATTTATAAATTATAACGCTCTGCTTCATCATAATAACGAAAGTAGTACCTACCTAAGTATAAGTACAAAATCGTATACCTACGTACGTGACACGCCATAATAAGTATAACGCGGCATAATAAACAGCGCGCAGGCGATGTTGACATACATATGTTTATCATACCTACCTATTTACAGTGTACACCAATAACATTTTTTCAAAGAGAGTGGTATAATACAGCGAAGGTTATTTTTAAATTCAGTTTTCAGTAACATAATACCGGTTCATTATTCTTCATAAATGACGATTTCCGAAGACGACTTGTTTCCTGTGTTGTTCGAGATAAACGAAAGTTTTTCGTTCGAGGCGAGTAGGGGATTGTTGCTGAATGGGATGGTTAGCGGATGACATTGTTAATAATTAGTGTCACTTATCTTGAAGCAATATATTGTATAATAATACAGTTTATGGAAAATAAAAAAGTTTAACAATAAAATATTAAATAAAATAAAATGTGTATTAAACAAAAAACCTTAGAGAAAATAAAATAGGTCGTGTTGATAAATTCTAGAAAAGAAAAGTAAAATCTAAAAATATTTTATGGGTTAAATTCCACTTTTAAATAAATATAAATATAATGTTTTATTAAAAGCTATATAATAACTTGTCTAGTATGTTCACGAATACGTACTTCTGAGTTGTTTATTATGTAATCGTAACGAAATTTCAATCAGTCAATAATGTATACATGTAATTAAATTAGGCAGGTATTTTTTATTGTTTGTACATTATTTACAAATTACATTAAATGAGAATTCATCAGGAGTAAAACTGATAAAACGTTAAATTATCCTAGTATCAATTTCATTTTCTGTCATAAATTGTGCCGCGAATCAATACAATTTAAAACCGACCAATAATTATCCTAAAAATAAATTCGGTTTATTATATTTTTATAATAATGCAGTTTATTTCTTCGATCTATCTGTTTTTTCATTGTTCTTTTGTTCATTTGATTCCTCCTGGGGTGACGCGATCGGCATAAAGCCTCCAACTAATTGGGGTTTGAAATTATCTGGGTCAAATCTCTCCGTGGATGCAGCTACATCACCAGTTTCATCTATTTTTTCCGAAGCATCAATCTGAGATTTTTTCACTACTGACCAGCCGTTACTGTTCTCAGGAATTTTAAGACTAGGTTGAAATGGGATTTGAAAATTGTGTAATAGTGGTTGATGTCCTTCATTTGTGGTCTTATGATTGTCTTCTGATGTTTTTAACGTGGCAGTTATAAGTTTTGAGGGAGTTACAAAGTTTGAAGCTGGACTGCGTGTTACCATCGGTACATAGTCTTGGAGATTGGGTAAAAGTCCTTGATCAATATTTGGTTTTGAAGATTCTGGTTTTGTTGGAGTGTATGCGTTGTAATCTAATGAAGTGGTGGCATTATGCGTTTCATCTGGTTTTACTATCTGGTATGGGAAATCGGTTTTGATTGGTTTGTTAAGAGCAGTCTTTGTTTTTAAAATTGGAACGTCAGATCGGTCCTTGGCATCTATTATAATAGGGTCATCTAATAATTTTTCTATTGCGGGTTTAGGCGAATTATTCGACGCATAAATAACATGAACTGGATTTTCTTTGTTATCTTCATAAACCTTAGATGGACTTCCATGTTGCATCATTTGTAAAGTAGTTACTTTTGCTTGCTGCGGGCCAGTTCTTTGTAAAATCCTTGTTTCTTTTTCCGGGATATCTACAATTTCTTCTTCTATATTATCATCATTTCTGTCTAATCTTAAGAATTGGGGTTTCGGTAATGGTGGAGGCCGCAAGTGGTCTATTGGTACTTGTACTCTTTCAATAGTTGCAGAATGTGATGGAGGTAATGGCTGATTATCTACTTTAGCGTTAGGCCTAAATTGAGGTAGAATATTGGGTAAGTTTGTTCTATGAGGTGGTGGTGGCGGTGGACCTTCGCGTTTCGGAGGATAATACGGGGGAGGTTTCTGTATGTTTTCCCATTGAGGTCTTGGATATCCAGCTGGTTTTGACACTGGCCTCGATGGGGGAATTAGTGGAATTGATGTAGTAGGTTTAGGCTTAGCTGGGCTTGATTGATTTACTTTAGTTTCGAGAGATGCGTTTTCGACTAGTAATACTTGCCCAACGCCTTGTCCAGGACGAATATCCGTTCTTTCTCCGTCCATGCCAATCGAGAATGAAGTTTGAAGTGCGTAGCTTTTAGTGTCTTCGTTTGGCTGAGTTTTTATGAAATGGTTTATCACGTGCTTAGGAGGTTTGAATTTTGATGTGTCCGGTTGACTTTGTGGTACAATTTGTTGAGGTTTTACTTTTATGTAGGGATCTGGTTCTTGTACGCTGTATGTATGTGGTCGACTTGGAGTTACTTCGGTATTTAATGGTTTTTTTAGTAATTCCGTTTGGGATTTTATTATTGGCAGTTCTGGTTGGTATGGACGATTTTGAATTTGTGACCCTTGAGGTCGATATGAAGGTACATTTGGGTAAGACGGCGTATCTGGTTTGACTTTATAGTGTATCATATCTCGATGTTCAGTGTTGTCTATTTTATGCTGTTGGGTTTTCAAATACGTAGAATCTGATGGGTTCATAGATACTTCTTGTTTGTTGCCTAGCGTGGGTCTAGTTTCATAAACAATATCTTTCGTTCTATTGAAGTTCTGTGGTTCTGGCTTCTCAATTCTAGTGGCGTATGTTGATTCTGCTTTTATTGGCGGAGGTCTCAAATCAGACGAGTACTTTGTTTCGTGTTCTTTATTGTTATTATTTAAAGATATGCCTGATGAAACGTGTGCAGTAAATGTCATAGGAGTTTTACTATTTGTTAGTAATGGATACGTTTTGTCATCAAATTGATAGTTGCTTGGTAAAGGCTTGAAATTTTGACTATATTGTTGATCATTTTTTTCTGTTGGTTTCACTGCATCGTAATCTGGAAATGAAGTTTCGTCTGGTTTAGAATCAATATCTGGCCGTGAAGTGGACGAAGATAACACTACTGTTTTATTTGGAATAACTGATGTAGAGTATGGATTTTCAGTTGATGGCGGAATTGTGGTGGATAAGATAGCTTTATAAACAGTTGTAGATTCTGGCATAATTATAGAAGGTTTATTATGAATAGTTGTAGTAGTCGGACTACTAGTGGACGTCGGAGGCGTTGGAATTTTATTGGTGGTTACAGATACAGATTCTTGAGGATGGTAATAATCGTAATCATACATGGACTCTTCCTCATATTCTTGATAGGGTTTTTGAGTAGTTGTCGTGGTTGTTGTAGTTGTCGTAGTAGTTTTTGGTACACTGATTGTAGTAGTTTTATAAGTTGATTTCGAAGTAGTCGGCCACGAAGTAGGAGCGCTAGTAGATGTAGGTAGATTAGAAGATTGGGCAATTTTATGATTGCTGAGAGAAGAGATACCGGACCCTTGAACTTTTGTGTTTGCATAAGAACTAGACATCAAGGGAAATTTGTCACTTGAACTGTATTTTACTGGTAAATTTAAAAATTGGTAGATATCTGTTTGTTTATTTTTATTATTGGTGGGCTTAATATCATTAGGTCTAGGTAAAATTATATCCCCTTCATCTTTTCTGTCTATTGGATCACCTTTATAGTCATAAGGTACTTCTTCTAATTTAGTATCATAATCGTAGTATTCTTCGGACTTCTGGTTTGGTGATTTTGTGTTAAAGTCAATAGAACCCATGTTAGGGTCCATTACAAAAGGTTCTCCTTTATTAAATGGAAATAATCCTGGATGATAGCCATTTTTTAGGGTCATGGGTTTTTGTGGTTCTTCTTCTACGGTAGCTAGCACTCCAGGTTCCTGGTTAGCAAATGACGATGCACACAAAAACAATATCAGCGACCAAATTAAAAAACTCATTTTTACCTAAAAAAATATAATTTAAATTAGTTAAACATGTATTTAAAATAATACAATTAATTTTAATTTGACGGAATTTCTTATCATTTATATTACGTTCAGTGGTGTAGAAAACTGAAGGTGCTGTGCTATTATACAGTGTGTTGATTTTCATAATAAATAGATTTGACATAAGATATAATATGAATATTTTAGTGCTGTTTAAAAAAAAAATTATAATATACTTTTTGGTGGCATAATTTAAAATAACTTTCAAAACCTTTTTCTAACATTTTATTTTTTTCACAAAACTAAATGTTTAAAAAATTGAAAATAGCCGCTGTATATAATTATTTTTGTTATTAAAAATTATTTAAAAATTTGTTAAATTTTACTAAAGGGGACAGCGTCTCCTCATCTGTATATTAAAACTTAAAATGTAATTTGAACTAGAAAACTGAGGGTTCCCATAATTGAGTTGTAAGAAAAACGTTACCTTAATCATATCGAATTTCGGTATGAATTATTTTAAAACATCGTAAAACACTTGACGTGTCATATTCAATTTTCGTTAACTTTTTTTTATGGTTAGTTTAGTATTTTGAATAGTTACTGCGGTACAAAGTAAAATAAGGAAAGTGATAATACTTGTCCTTCAGTCATTGAATATGCGCCTATTTTCCATTCGGACCCAAACATCCGTTAAAAGCGCCAGTAAACGAGTGTGCTACAAAACCAGTTACCCGGAAATGCGGTGTATATATTATTCATATTATATACATACGCCATAATATGCAGAAGGTTTACATACATATTTTTCTTGTGCGTGTAGTTTTAATCAGGCCATATCGTAGGTAGGTTAGGACTATGGATTATTAATAACCAGGGTACCTATATAAAATAACTTGCATATGGTAGTAGGTGACTTTGTTATTCTACAGCGCACTACCCGTGTCCTCGATACGCGTCTATTGAGTATCACTATTTTCCATTCGAGACGAAAACGAAATTGACTATTGTATTATGATTTATACAGAAAACATACTATTATGTTAGATCGTTTAATATAGTTGTATCAATGAAATCGGTTTATAAACTTTTATATTTTTTAAAAAATGTGCGAAATTAATTTTTAAATTGTACGTTTAAAAAGGATTGTTTGATAATATACGAGGAAACTCAGTATTTTCACTGGTATATTAATTTCTCTTCGATAATGGATTTAAATGATACTGGCCTTACGGGTATTTTTCAATTTAAATATATTTCTTTATATCTCATTACCGTTTATTAATATCATTATTTCGTATTGATTTTTTAGGCAAATAAAAGAATAATTAAGGCGATTTTAAGTGTGATTTAATTTGATTAGGATTGTCTAGCATGCTATACAATACATTTTAAATACTGTTAAAATAATAAAAATAATAATTAATTAAACACAATAATGTTTAAAATATATTTGCTATCTTAAGTATTTTTTCATCGTACTACAATATTTTATCAAAAGTTGTGTAAACTATCAAATTTAAACACCGATAATTATATACAAAGTTAATTAAGCATGGTTTATAAAACTAGGTAGCAGAGTATAGTAGACACCTATCACTTTATAATAAAATCATTTTAACGGGCCAAACGAATTCCAGACAAGTTTCCGTTATTTTTTTTTTAGGCGATATACCTATGTACAAACATTTCCATTTGTTCATTTGGTACAATGATGTTAGAAAAAATAAAAAAATAATAATTTTTTAGACAACTGGGAAAATTTGTTACAAATTTTGATGAAGTGTACAACCTACTTATTGTAGAACTGGTTATTGTTGAAAAACGTCGAATTCTTAGTTATATAGATAAAATATAATTATGGGTTAATAAACTATAAAAGAAGTATCGATACAAAATCCATATTGGTAATTTTCCGGTGTTTAGTTTTGGTCAACAACCGGATGATACGGCAGGCAAACGTTTTCAGGTCGTAGACCTCAGTAATAGTTGTATTTTTAAGATTATTTCTGTAAAAAATAGAGACGCAATGTTTTGAAGTAAAATTATAAAAATGCAAGTATACATACAATTGCATTTCACTAGGTATAGGACTTTCTAGTTTCTCTAATATATCAGTTTATATCAGCTACAAACAAAATTAATAATACTTTATTAAGTGATACATTAAATGATTTAATTTGGAACTTTAAACTTATTTAAATGTATTTGATGTATAGGTACAACCTTTGTTTATATTACAATACACATTTTTAAAATTTTACTAAGGTTCCAATTCAAATAATATTTTTTAATTTAAATAAAGTAAGTAAACTTGTTATTTCTATTTCATTTGACCAGAATTAAGTTTTGGGCTTATAAATTTATATGGTACATATACATTACATACTGTAATAGCATATCGATAACTTACTCTAGAAGATTTTAGTATTAATTGAAACCGGGAAGTTTATAACCCAATAACTATATTGTATACTTGCTTCTTAAATATTTAGATTACATGTTACATCAGTACATAGTTATAACAAATATATTTTATTTATTTGTTTTGTTCATTACAGTTTAAACAGATCTCAATTGTAAATTATTTACATCGATTTTTAAGAATGGAGTTAAGAATACGTATACGAGTATACGTATTGACAATAAAGTCCTTTCGTGAAATAATGTGAGGCGAAGGTCAGGGCTGACGATGCAAGGTAAATTTTGTCACCTACATATTATATGAAATTCCCCATAGAAAATATAGATATAGGTAAAAAAAATATATAGGAAATAATAATTTTTTATTCATAGTGTATCACGAGAAATATAATTTATTTTTTTTTTTTACCATTTTTGCAATAATAATTTTGATTTGTTCATGGAAAAAACTATATAGCTGGGACAACCATAATTATGGTTAATTTAAGACACAATAAATATTCTAGTTGGAATAACTAATTAAATAGTTGACCGAACTAAATGTATAGTTGCAGTTACTATAAATATAGTTGGTCCAACTATTTATTTAGTTATTCCAACTAGAATATTTATTGTGACTTATATTAACCATAATTATGGTTGTCCCAATTATATAGTTTTTTCCGTATTTAAAGACGAACTGTGTCATAACTACCGAGTATAATATATTGTTTTATTCTATAAGTAAATCAAATACACAAGCTATATTTCAATAAAAATTAAGGTCTGTATCATAGAACTAAACTATATTATTTTTAGATTAAATAACTCGTACCTACTAGATTATCGTACAGTTTAATTTTCTACAATAGATACAATATATTTACTTACTCGTTTAATTACTCGTAAAAATTTGCTAATTAAAGAATATAATAATGTAAGAATAGTTTAACGATGTTCTAAATTATAAACCCGATATGTATTTAACGCTTTTCATTTTGTTTTTTATGATTTGCCAATTTACACTACATTAAAATGTGTATATATTTACGATATTCGATGTTTATTAGAGTATAAAATGAGTTGTAGGTTTAGTAAAAAAAATCCTTTGTACTTACTGACGTCGGAGCTCTTGTTGTTTACTGCTGGATTATTAAAAAAGAAAAACGAATTTTTAACCCAGAATTTTATTTCCGGTGTCGCGGACGTCGTGTGTCTTGGCGGACGTCCGGCGTTTTGGCGCAACAATTGCAGTTGCAAAATTAACCAGAGCGCATGATGCAAATGAACCCGGATGAATAGTGTGGTGTGTCAACCAGGTCGTCCTCAACCGCGTCCTCGACCGACCAAAACACAAACGCAGGGCACCAGCGGTTGTATAGTAGACAGATATCGCCGCGCCGTGAGAGTAAAAAGTACCGAATGAAAGATGATGGGGGGAGGGCACGCCACCAACGAAAGAATGCGATCGCCCGCCGCCACCAACCGGACCCGCGTGGTGTACAGTTATTTGGTTGCCCAGCAAACCATGTTTTTTTTTTTAGCTAGCTACCTGGTTGTAATGTTCCACCGAACACCTTTATGAGCGTACGATTTATAATATGACACCCGGGTAGAGTGGTTCTCAGAGTGTAAAAGTTAAAAAAAATATATATATTAATAATCGGTTTTTTTTGTATTCGAATAACTGTTTTATGACTATGTCACCGACATTATATCTTTTCGGTAATTATACAGAGATGAACGGTCGGAGTCACGTACTCTTTTTCATATTATAAAACTAACAAATAACAATATACGTAACCTATATAGGCCGTATGGAAACACTAGAAAAAAGTGTTATTGTTTGAATTTGTTTTTTTACACTTAGTATCAGTCCTTATCCGTGTCCTTTATTTTAATTCTAAATAAAAAATATTGCGCAAAAAATTATGCCAGTTTAATAAATCTGTACTAAATTGGGAAGCCAATCTCACATTATGTGATTTTTGGTCGACGAGCTTCACAAGTTTTACTTTTCATAAATCTTTACGGAAAATTATCTACAAATCTACAATCTTTATAGCTTTTAAATTGTTTTCGTAACATAAAGGGTCATAATATATATGTTTAGTGATCTAACTAATTTTTGTGAAAATATACGTATTCAGTTGAATAGTGGAATGCAAGAAATTTTGCGAGTCGTTAAAACTTATAGTTACGTATGTAGCTGATATACATTGGCGGAGATCCGGGGGGTGCTTGGTATACTAAAAAACCTTAAAACATAAAATCAATGCTTTTTAAAATACCTACCCTTTTTTTTTAGTAAGAGATTTGTTGAAATAAAAATAAATATAATATTTATTTTAAGTTTTAAGGTTTTTTCAAGGTTTTTAGAATCTCAAGCCCTCCCTGATCTTCGCCAATGCTGATATATGAAATATGGTATACCTTACTTCGATTATTATCGAATGAATGACAAAAAGAAGAATCATTGCAAAATTATTACCTTCTTTCAACTTTGCATTAAACAAAAAATAGTGTTTAAATTCAAAATTACCATTTATCAGAATATCAAAGATAATACAAGACATAAGACAAGTTCCTTTTTCGTCGATACAATATTTCTATAAGCCGTTTGTTATTAGATTGATGGTAAAAGTTTAAACTGTACTATTAATAACAGCATTTGTATTATCTTCTAAGTATTACTTACATATACTATGTACGAAATAATGTAATAGACTTTTAACAAGTATTGTAATTCCATTTAATTGTACACAATTATTTATTAACGCAAGGAAATTTCAGTTGTAAAATTGTTTTAGGTAAACAACGATTTTATATACTATAATACTATAATTTATACCATTGATAGTACTACAATACTCAATGTATACACTTTAGTCTTAACCTTGCCTTATGTTCAGTGTATGCAAACTATTCAGTGCTCAATTAGGGTGGGGAGACTTGGTTTTGCTAGATAGTAGATAGAGATAAGAGAGTATATCTAAAGATTTGTTTGGCAGCCCTCCCAGAAAAATATTTCTAGATATCCCACTGATGTTTATAATTAATTCGCGAGGTTGCATTTATAATAAGTTTTTGCACCAAGAAGTCTGAAATGATGTGATGACAGACAACAGACACTGACTTAAGAAAAAAACATATAATAATAAATTATTATGATCATTTTCAAGAATCCAAATTAAATTACTATTTATAATTTCTATATTTTGAGTAAACGGTCTAAATATCATAACACAAAAACACATGGAAAGCCTAGCTTCTGTCTACTTAAGTAAAAAAAAACTTGTGGCAGTAAAATACGTTTTTCTAAGTTCTATACTACTAGGCTATTAATAATGAATATTGTTAAAAGCTAACACAATTATTAAACCTTACATTTTTGAAGATATAGTTTAATAAAATGTGTTATTAACTATTTAAGTATTTTAGTATTGTAGTACATATTATATGTAAATTTAATAACAGGAATATAGTCATAATTCATAACTCAGAAGTCATAACTGAATGTTTATTTAATGTTAAGGTGGTGTAAAATATTTAAAATTTAATAGTTTTCATAATATTTTGATATTCATTAGTTTTTACATGGTTCATTTATAAATGTATTATATACATATTATAATAAATAATATATGCTTACATTAAGATACATTTAATTTTTATTTCTATCATTTTTTTACTAGACTATATGCAGTTAATTTTACCCAAGAAATAATTATCAAAAACTTCAATAAATCCAATATAATATTTATTACTAAAAATATTATATATATTGAAAATAAAAATAAACTTGAAGACTAGTAAAATGGTGAAATTGTAAGTATAGATTAGTTAGAAATAGAAAATAATGTATAATAAATTTAAATACGCTTATCTTAGTAATATTTGAAAACTCAAACATTCCAACATAATTCCTTTTATTATACAAGTATTTATTTTAAATGTATTCCACCTCCATTTTCTTTCCAATTGTCGAAGTATTGTTTAAATGCCGTTGGTTCACTACCTTCAACAACTCTTACAACCTATTAAGCGCACATAAATAACATGAAATAAGGTTTTAATAAATTTAAAAAATATATAAGCATACTCTTGTCCAAGCAGGGTAATTGTTCTCCTTAATGAAAGCTTGTGCTCGTTTCAGAGACTCTACTTTTTCTTGAGTTGTTCCTTTTTTACCGATCCACACGTATACACCAGAAGAAACCGTATCCAAAATAAAACAGTCCTTGAAAACGTTAATTTTAATTATTCAGAAGTACTTTTATAATATATGTCATACTTACATCGGTTTTTAAGTAAGATTGGAGAAGTGGTTTTTGACTGAGTTTTTCTGATGAAATTTTCCCACCTTGAGAGTCCGTTATTTTGTACAAAACTGGTGTTGCCTAAACAATAGTTGTAAATGAGTATATTATATTTAAGTTTTAAATTTATTTTTAATATACTAACAGCTTCTTTCTTTTCAAATTCTACATCGTCATCAACAGCGGGTGCTACTTGCTTGGCTGATCCTGAACCCAATTCCTTAAAAAACTTATCGCTTTCTTCTGGGGTACTAGATCCATCTATTTAATAAATATTTATACTGTATACATAATTTATTTTATATACATATATTAACTTACTACATTTTCAGCCAAAAATACTATTTATTCAGTAAAGAAAACTTCAAATTACTCTACCTTTGGTATTATTATTCACGTTATAATTTTTTTTTAGGGGGAGGGGATTATTGATAAAAATATAATAGCTCTTTAGACTTCGTTCAATTTAGCTTTGATGAAGAGCAGAAAATATATTGTTTTTACAATAATCTGTTTTATTATATTGTTTTTTTGTCTGGACCCAAGATATATCTCCTAAGACCATAGCCTATAGAACAGAAATTGAGAAATCGTACCTAAAAGGTTCTTTATGTAGCTAAAAAAATAGAAAGTTCACTCCTTTCCCTTCAAAATCAAGGAAAACACCATCAAATTGTATACTTTTTTCATAAGTAAACTTACCAACAATATTTATTTTGGCTCTTCCTGAATGATCTTGATCTCTAATTTGATTAGCAACGCTAATCGCTTTAAGTCGCTCTGTTCCTTTTGCTTGAGGTCCAACGTACAAGTAAATTTCTTTTCCGGTGTCTAAAATAAAGCAATCACCTTGATTCATTGACGACACATTTGGAGCTACTTGTTTAACTCGAATATTCTTTTTGCCTTTAATTTGATACAATTTTTTTTCACCACCAGGATTGATTTCTGTATGGTGGAATCCTGAAGTTACACCACCCGGTAAATAACGAATGGCTATAAAAAAATGGAATTATTTAGGTAGGTTTACATTATAATACTTTAGATTATTATTATTACAAGGTGAAAAAAGAGATAAAAACGCTTGGCTCTCGTGATCTTGAGTTTCTTTATGCTGAACTGGGGCACCTCCGAGAGCGTCATCTAGTTGCACAGCAAGAATCGCTGCTGATCCAACTTCATCCTATATAAAAATAAAAATATTGTTTTATTTAAAAAAATGTATATATATATATATACAATAAACTATGATATAATATTACACACTTGAGAAGATGCGCTTCCAGACCAATAGAATATATCAGAAATCACGTTGCCTTTTTTACTTTTATCCTCTTTTGACTGAAAAATGTAAATTAAAATTATAGATTATTTATTAGTAATTATAACCTATGTGTTTCAAGTATGTTTCTTTTTGTGTATTCTTACATTCAAAACGATGTATGAATCACCGGTATAAAATTTTCCATATTCTTTTACAGGATATGGTACTGGTTCAAAATCCTAAAATAAAAAAATAGCTGTTAATGATTTTCGTAACAAACAAAGCTAGACAAAAATAACTAATCTTATGTAGTAATTTAACTACACTTTATTAAGGTAGTATAGGTATAAATAATACGTATAACAAATAATGATTTTTATAATTTAAAATTTATTTGACAATTATAGCGTAAATCCATATGTCACGACTCGCTTAAGAGAAATTCCGTGAAGCGTATACTAATAATTTACTATACCTAATTTGTAATATACTTAATTGTTGTAATTTTCTATTCGGTCTTATCGTTTTGTTTAACCAACTACATCTACACCTACCTAATACCTACCTTATATCTTGGTCAATGCATTACAAAATAAGCAGGAATTGAACACATTTTCCTACAAGATATTGTAGCCTTTAAAATCTCTAAATTCCAAATTTTTCTATCACATATTTTTCACTTATATTTTTTCCATGTTTTAGTTATGTATATAATTATATGTATTTTAGTGAAATTAGTATTTGCTTAGTATATTTCAATTTATAAAACTAAAAAGTACGTCAATATATTTTTTGTTGATGGTACAAAAATATTAAGAACAAAAAAGATATTTTAAAAACAAAATTTATAAATTTCTTGGTTGCTAAACTGTATTATGGCCGACGAAAGTTATGGGAAAGAACCGTTTTATTTCACATTAATAATTATTTTTAATTTTAAAAAAAATTGTTGAACTTTAATTACTGGATAATCATTTTTAGTTAGGCATAACAATTTTTATATTTTCTAGTATAGTAAGCATACATGGCTAGCAGAAAAATCATAACCATCTATAGTTCTGAGATGGAATATGCAACACTTGCTATCGGTAAAAATGAAACGAATATGAGTAAATGTGCTTAGCTAGAGGTAATTAAACAAATAATTAACTTTTTTAAGAGTATAAACACAATAGTTTACGTTTAATTGATTTATCTATATAAATTATAAAATAATTTTCTTTATATAGTAGATGGACTAGATACATAACATAACATTACTCATACAGACACAATGCACTACTTTGCCTGTTCAGTATAACTCTCTCTTTTTCGTTGTAATTCCTTTATTTCATAACGTCTATGAGGATACTTACAATTTTATTTTTAGAAATATAATCGTAACCCCACGATGTTATTTATTTAACATAAAAATATTATATTCCACAATCTCACACAATCGTTTTTTTACTGTTATTGTGTTATTATTCGCAACAATAACAGTTCGTGGCTAAGTAGCTGTTTAAGTTATAATCAGTACTCGTATATTATTATTTCAACGATTGGTTTGTACACGGAAAATAAATGAATTATGTACGTGAAAATATAGTATAAATAATCTAATCGTTACAATTATACTTAATTTGCACCAAATATATACATTTTTCAAACGGAAAATATGCCGAATTTCGACGATTGGTTTATACACGTGCAATTATAGTGTAAATCTAACCGTTACATTTATACGTATTTTATTCTGAATTTATACGTTTATTATTGAAATATATTTAGTATATTTGGTACGTATACAGAATATCGTAAAATCTACTAAGTAGTTTGGTGTAATATACGTACGGTGTCTAGGTACTGGGTTATGACCCACTGTTCACTAATCAAGCTCCTAGTGTTTTATTATAATGATTTGTGTTCTAATAATAGTTTCATTTAATTAAGTTGTTTTATATAAATAACATGTTTAATGTGTTGAAGGACTATGAATCAACAGTGTTTTACTTTTTTGTAGGGGATTTTTAACAAAATCTTAATTTAATATCAAATTTACCTATACTATATAATATAGAAAATAATATTACTTCTATTCTCCAGATCTTTAGCCCAGCTGTTTTCCCGGCAGATTCAAATGCAGGATGCATGACTGACGGTTGAAGAACGGCCGGACTCTTTGTCTGTGCTGAACCCGTTGTGCTTGCGAAAAATATAACAATAATACACAGCGACAAGCGTGCGCACGGTAGAACTGCGACACGCCGACTAGTAGACACCATCGCGATAGTGGCGGTTGTCTGCCTGAAACGATGACAAACCGGTGTAATTTTCGTATGACTAATGAGGTTATTCAAATGGTGTTCATTTACGTGACGTCACTAATGAATAGGTTTTTTTTTAACAAAACCCACTTCCCTTCGGGGTACTTGGAGACAATAAAGAACAATATGTAACACATTTAATAACTCGATTCCTTATTTAAAACTTATGTTTCCATACTTAGTGGTTTATTGTTGCTAATTGTTGGTAACTATTAAACGTAAAATATGAAATAATAGTTATTATTACTATTCGATATTCAGTACAACAAATCCGTAACGTTAACAAGTTTACCATTTTCACCACAAAACGAGAGATAGCATGTTACCTTTTGCACCTAATTAACACACGTAAAATCATACATTTTTGCTATAGGCTACTTTGCAGTAAATTAAAAGTAAACATAAGCTTATGTTATCTTTATTTTGACATTTTGAGATCTTTTTTTAAAATTTTTTTTATTTAAAAAAAATTGTTATTTAATAATAATATTATTGCAATACAAATAATATTATTACTAATAAGCATAGACGATTTTATCTATTACTAAATTCACATCTCGCCTTTTTCACATTTAATTCCTAATTAATAATTATATACTTGATTTATTCAATTAACAAGATAATTATAAAAATTTTAAAAGCACTTAATTTAAATAAAATTAGTATGACTATTTTGAGTCTCATAATGCGACTTTTGAGAATATAACGAATTTATGTCTAAGGACTAAAGACTAGGACTATAGATGGTATAAAAAATAAATCTCCTGGTTATTTTATTTGTTTCGACGTTGCGATAAACAACTACACAAAACCATCAATTACTTATCGGATACACATGCGCGCATACAGAAATATATTTGGCCTTGATTTTCGTTGAATTGCACGAGCAGTTAGATTAAAAAATATACTTTTAATAAATGTAAACTATTTTTCTTAAATGTTTTAAAAAGAGATTATTACGAGTATTACTTATTAGGTATCAATTAAAATTATATTTAGAAGATACATAAATTTGTTTCAAAAAAACTTTACATAATACACGTCATCAAAAAATTAAAAAACTTCTATATTATTAAGAATACTTATAATTTTTTAAAATTAAAAAAAAAAAGTTTATAAAAAATAGTTTTTACCAATTGTACTAACTTCGCAATTAGATGAAGCTTTATAATTTTGATCATTTATAGAATATATTCATTTACGTGCACGGGTAGACGTTAAATGCATTGTAAAAATGTTATCCGTAGGCAATAGGTACTAAAATTAATAAACCCCAATATATCTGCATCATATAGGGTTTTTTCTTAATTGTAAAACAAATGATTTAAATTAAATCAAACTATTTTTATTGTTATTTGTTAATTTTTATATTTAAGTATCCCATTTAGTTTGTTTTATTGTTTGATAATTTAATTTCAAATATTTTGTTTTAGAGTTTTAATAAATAGCCATTTGTTTTCTAATATAAATACATTTAGTGTTTCTAAACTAATATTTGACCTTGTTTTTTCGCTAAATTACCTACATGACCAATACGATTATAAAATAGACAATCGACCGTAGTATCTACGGCACCTCATGCTATTAAAATAACAAATAATTAATGTCCATCGCACAATTACCTTGTTGCTTTATAATACCAATATATAGATAGATTAGCAAAATGGGTAATGGCCATTACGTTTGTACTTAGGTCAATATTTAACATAATGATTGAAATTATCATTTCCAAGAATTCGTTTTTAAAAATATTTGTTCAAAAACAAAAATATTTAAATGATAAAAGTATGTACTCATTTTAATAAAAAAATTACTGCCTGTTCGAAATAATTAGCTAGCTATAGTAGCTTATTTTTTATTTTCATCTATACTAAAAAAATCAATTAGATCGGTTATTAATATTACTATACTATTTAATACTATTTGCTATTATTACAGTTATTAGTAATATTTCTAATTTAAATAATAATATAATAATAAGCATATAATTTAATTTTGTAATATTATTTATGTCCGCGGTTATGAAATTTATTAGATTTGAATGTAATTTTAATGTATATATATATATATATATATATATATATATTAATGCGAGCTAAACAGGTAATAAAGGCCCATCATGAGATGGTTACATACATAAAATATAAGTATACTTAATTAGAGTTCTATAAAAGAATTAAAATACACAACATATTTAAAAAAAAAAACTTTTGAAGTATGTTTTATTTAATAAGAGATACAATGATATTTTTAGGGCTTTTACACGTTTACATAATTGAAAGGTTGTGGGTAAAAACGATCTTTGTCAATATACTCAAAGTTTTCAGTATTGCAGTATTTAAAGTTTTAGAAATTAGAATTTAAAAGACTTTGAAATAAAGTAAAAGATGACGCAGATAAAATAATATTGTTCTTTAACTATATTTATTGAGAAATTACGAAATTATTCATTTATTATTATGATAGCAGCCCTTTAATTGTCTAATATTTATTCATTTTAAATAGAGTTTTTATATTCTATTTTCTAAAATTAAAAACTGTGTTAAGTTAATTTAGAACTTTATAAACACTAAAAGAGATAAAAAAATTCTCATTTCTATTTTGTAAGTAGTTTTAAGTTTTTAAAGACGAATTGAAAAACAACTTGCCGTGTTAGAGTTAATTTGAGACCAGACAATTTAATATTAATTATTATCATAATATATTTAAAATATAAGCAAAACGCTGGAAATATTTGTTTAATACATTTTGTACCGTGTACGTTGTATTTTTTAAAAATCGTATGTCTATTGTTCTGCCAAAACACGATTTTAAAAATATTAATAAACGTATGCAGTCTAACAAGAGTTTCAATAACAAACAACATTTTTTTAACTTATTATTGTTTTCAATTTCTTATTCATTATATCTTAATTATATAAATTGATAATATCTTAGGTTAATAAATATATTCAATTGCCAATTACATATATTTTAGTAATATATTAAAAACAAAAAAATTACCTGTTAGTATTCAACTTTTACGTATTGGCGTTTCTTTGTCGTAACACGTACTAAGAGATTATAATGAATCTCTACCGAATAATAAAATGAGCTAAAGAATCAATGTTTTATAGGAATAACATCAATGAACAATTGTTGTTTTCCTCTAAAATATATGAACTGTGAGCCTTTTCCCACTCTTAATTTTTATAATTACCACGTTAACCTTACTGAACCCGATGAAATCGCGTATAGCTCAATAATACCGCTATTATAATGTTATTGACTCATCATCTATAATAATCAACATTGCATAATATCTATATTCTACGCATCTTTACTACACAATATTTACAACAAATTAAATTACACGGTTATTAAAAAAACACTAAAATTGCTATAATCGCATTCTGACATTTTTTTTATAACAAATAAATTACTTGAGTTATTATTACAAAAAATGTTGTGTCAAACCCATACTTTAAATATTAGAACACCGGTATCGATCTAAAATCATCACCGTTGTATTATTATTAACTTTGATTATAAATATTTATAATCAATGTTATTAATCATTATCATAGAATTAATAATGGGATAGTCATGTGTTTCGTTAACACGTCCAGCGCTGCCCTATAATGCTTTCCCAAAATTATCAAACACTGATTTATGTTTCACATTTATTATTATTTATTGATGATACTATATAGTTGTACCGACAATAAAATTGTCAGAAAGACAGATCAAAAAGAGACTTGGACCTATGCCCTAAAATGAAATACAGAATACTACCGATAGTTACATAGTATTCTCTATTGGCTATTGCTAGACATAGAAATTAAAAATAAAACCGCAAAATAATTTAATATTCTGAACGTGTAATTTAAATTAGTTTTCTACAAATTAGTTAAATAAAGATAATACATAAGTAACATAATAGCTTTATTATAGAGTAACAGTTATTATAATAACTCTTTCCTACCTGTTCAATTCATTAATTGTTTAACTGCGGGATTTATGATTATGTTCTATGATAGATTTATATTTGCTATGTCATGTTATACTAACATTTAGGAAGGATCCAATTAACTTCGGGATTTCAGTCGTTTTACCATACCTAATAAATAATAATACTACAATTCATTGATAAGGTAGAAAGGTTATTTGTTATATGACCTTGCAATGAATTGTACCTACGTTTAAATGTTGTATTGTTATTTCAAAAAAAAAAAAAAAATTTTAAATAATAATAATAATTGTTTAATACAAAATAGTAAAATTTAAGCTTTCTAGAATATTTAATCTCCGTAGCACTGCCAAGAGGCGTGCACAGGGCCCCCCCCCCTGTGATGTGGGATCTATCCCCCTGTGGTCACTTTTTTATAAAGTTTTAACAATGAAGTTCATGAAGTTTCATTAAGCCAAAGTTTTTATTCATTTATTGGCCGTGAACTCATAGTGTAGCATATAAATATAGTTTAATTTATTGTTAGTCAGTAATTGTCAATCCTATCTTAAATATATGTATATACTGAGTTTCATTAGTAAGAAAAAATATATATTTCAAGGGAATCAGCTGTAGCCGCTGACTCCTCTAGTTGTACGTAGCACGTTTGTACCTATGTTAAGTCTAGCTATTATATACAACTAAATTATGTAGTATTATAGTAGTAGCTAGTAACGTAATAATTGAAAACAATAATAGTAGACAAATTTTAAAATTATAGATCATATTATAAAAATGATATCTCATAATTTAAGTTAATAGCCAATTTGTCATCCGCTATCGGCTATAGCTATCATGCTCATAATGTTCCATCCTGAGAGTGGTTAAATTTATAACATGTAAGACACAGGTAATACAGTTTGCTTACTGCTAAGTGATGTAATATAACGTTACATAACATTATAACTTTTAACAATAATATTAAATAATATTACAACCATGGATTTGAACCCAACCCTTAACCAGAGTTAACACTTATAAAATAATTATGTGTGAATACGTCTTGATGCTCTTAAAGCTAAATCGATTAATTCAGCTATGTTGTTTTCCTGGCATTATTATTCTTATTTTAAAAATAGATTTTTTTAAAAAAAATTGTTTAATAAATTTAAATAAGAATTTATCTGTGCAGTTTACACTATAATGTTCTATTTTATGTACATTCAATGTTAAAATATGCCAAAACCAAAATCGAGTAAAATCTATTAATTTTTCTAATTTAATAATTCCACTGGTAGAAATTATACTTGCCAAATTGTTAACTGCAAAACACAAATTTCCCATCGTGCAAAAAAATTGTGAAAGACACATTGATAACCTAACATCATGATATACATGAAACTATTATAATTTTAAAACAAAGATGACAGAAAAAGATATCTTATCCCAACTAAATAAAAAAATAATTGAAGAGAATGATAAATCAGTAATAAAAACAAATATTTTTAAATACTTAAAGAGAACAGGAATTTTTATAAATCCTAACCAAACTAAGTTTTCTAAAAATATTAATACCTATTTTATAATTTATAGTTATGTATATTTTATGTAAAGTATATAGTCAATATCAACTGAATGTAATTTGTAAATGTATTTGAAAAACAACACAAATACAATTGATTCCAGAATAATTATTAGAAGCTTGTACTGATCTTGTTGCAACTGAAAGAAGACCATTTGAAATATTCTCAGATTATGGGGTTCGTAAAATAGTTAATTCTTTTTTAATGGCAATGAATAAACACATTTGCTATTAAAAACATATATGGGCTAAAGTAAAAAGCTGCAAAAATCAGAAATGAAATAACAAAATCAGTATAAAATAAACCAATCTTCTGATGGCTTGAGCTACACATAATGATATATTATCTTAAATTATGTTGTAGGAATCTGTAAATCGTTCTTTTTCGGAACTTAAATATATTCCAAGTGATTTAAAAATGAACTGTGATAATGTGATATTTGATATTTTAGAAGATTTTTAAATTGTTAGAAGGTATGTCTTAATGTCTTATTTTGTAAGGGTGTAAGTTTCAACATAAAATATGTTGTGTTGGTACGTGAGTACGTCTTGTTACTATGTTATTATTTTTGTTATTACTTGAACATACACATTAGAAAAGACTACTTAATAATAAATAAAGTATTCACCTGGTATTAACTGATAATTTTAAATAATTTTTAAAAGATGTACTTATTATTATCATTTTTGAATACATTATCATTACATGGTTAAATAAACTGTACCATCCATGTTATTTGTTGACAAAATCTCTTCAGAAATGTTTTTTTTTTACGATTTTTAAAACCCTTTACACATAAATAACCCAATCTATTAATTCGGCTAACAAAAACCGAATTACCTAAAACAAAACCCTAACCAAAATGAATAACCCGATATATATATATATATATATATATATATAACCCGAATATCCTAACCCAAATAAATCATCCGGATTTAAAACCCTGATTTTAACTAAACTCTAAAGTAAGTAATAGTTTTACTGTAAAACTATTATGATTGAATCTGTAGAAATTGTAACGACGTCGTTTCCGCGGTCTTCCCAAAAACTAATTTACGGTTACCGTCAAATTAATGAGATATTGATTTCGATGCAAAGATGATATTGTTTTTTTTCAATACATTTTAATTTTGTTGTTAATGTTTGCGTTTGGACCCGACACGCCCTTAACCTATAAATATCTCTTAAGCCGATTAATCGGCGATGTCTTTATGTAACAAGTCTATAGATTAGAAATAGTACATAAAATATACTTTATTGGTCTAAACATTTTAAAAAATCAATCAAGGTGAAACAATACATTTCAAAAAATATGGCAACAATGGAGTACCATGGAGCACTATATTATACCGTCAAGGTTGAAATGGCGTAATTCGAAACAATATTATAGTGTTCCAATAAATTGTTCCGATTACTACTGCGCAGGAATAATGCACTGCAGGTTGCACATGCGTAATAGTGCACAAATGTTAGTTTATTTGGCTACATTCACAGTTGGGCATCATTTAGTTAGTATTTTATTTAAATAATTTTTGAAATAAAAGTTGATTATTCATATAACCACAAGTAACCATACGAATAATCAATATTGATTGTGATTAATTTACTCATGATTGATTAAAGTTTTACCCACTATTAACTTTTTCAATCATGACTAATTTAACTATTATTCGCGTTAACTTTTTCAATTATGATTAATTTAACTATTACCAATGATTAAAATTTTCAATCATGATAAATATTTTTAGTCATTGTTATTCGTAATTAATAATTTAAACTTTTATGTATTACTCGTTTGATTTGGATAATTTAATTAGGTAATTTTTATTAATGAAGTAGTTTTAAGGGAAACAGAAAAATATACTTTAAAAAAATATGTCTTACTTTTAAATCGGATATTTCTATTAATAGTATGCTTTTCTTTAACTCGCTAACACGTACGTACGTAAGTTTGTATTGGAATTTTTGGAATCTTGCAAAATTAATTTTACCCACATCCCGACTAAAAAGAAAAGCGTGGGCCCTATTCAAGTCCAAATTCATTGAGTTAAGTATTATGAAATGTAAGTGTCCCACACTAAAATTGAACCAAATTTAAATTACAGAAAAACTTACAATATAAAACATTACAACATACAAACATCTGAAATTTTATCTGATAAATTTATTAGGGACTTTGTTGAATTGGGCCCTCGCTTTTATTTTTAGTAAAAAATTAAAGATGTTTAACATTATTTAGAAATTGTAGTTAGTTTTCAAAGTAATTGACATTTAACAAAAATGTGCTACAATTGATTGGTAAATTGTCTTTGTAGTAAAATTCATTTTTACTAATTTTTAACAAATTGTTATGCTACCAACAAAATATTATATTCTACACAGTTTTTTTATTTTAGCATGAAACATGCTTTAGCTTTGGCCCCAGCCCGGAAACTACACTAAATTGCGATACTAAAGTAGAGTGCCTACTTTAAACGTATAATAACATATTATGAAGGGTCATGGGGAAAAAAGATGAATATCAATTTTTTGAAATTTACCAACTTACAAAATGACATTTTAGCAAAGGTTTGAGCGAGAGAAATACACATGTTGTCGGTAACTAAATATATTTGAGTAAAAAACAAATTT